CGTGTTATCCCGTGTTATTACAGTACAACACGTAATAGTCATGTACATACATGAGCCGGCTTGTGTGGTTTATCCGGTTTATTCCGGTTTATCCCGGTTTAACCCGGTTTATCCGGTTTATCCCGGTCTATCCCGGTCTATCCCGTGTTATCCCGTGTTGTTGCAGTGCAACACGTAATAGTCATGTACATACATGAGCCGGTTTGTGTGGTTTATCCGGTTTATTCCTGGTTTATCCCGTGTTATTCCGGTTTTAACCCGGTCTATCCCGGTTTCTGTGGTTTATCCCGTGTTATCCCGTGTTGTTGCAGTGTAACACGTAATAGTCATGCACATACATGAGCACGGCCACGGGCTGGCCCAGGATCAGGGACAGCCACACGGCCGCGTTGCCGTAGTGCCCCCGCAGGAACCGCGACACCAGCCAGGCCAGCGGGATCTGGGGACAACATGGGACACCTGTGTCACACCTGTGTCACTGTGTCACACCTGTGTCACCTGTGTCACCTGTGTCACCTGTGTCACCTGTGTGTCACCTGTGTGTCACCTGTGTCACCTATGTCACCTGTGTGTCACCTGTGTGTCACCTGTGTGTCACCTGTGTCACCTGTGTCACCTGTGTCACCCCTGTGTCACACCTGTGTCACACCTGTGTCACACCTGTGTCACCTGTGTCACACCTGTGTCACCTGTGTCACACCTGTGTCACCTGTGTCACCTGTGTCACCTGTGCCACCTGTGTCACACCTGTGTCACCTGTGTCACACCTGTGTCACCTCCTGTGTCACACCTGTGTCACACCTGTGTCACCTCCTGTGTCACACCTGTGTCACACCTGTGTCACCTGTGTCACCTGTGTCACACCTGTCACACCTGTGTCACCTGTGTCACCTGTGTCACACCTGTGTCACCTGTGTCACCTGTGTCACCTGTGTCACCTGTGTCACACCTGTGTCACACCTGTGTCACACCTGTGTCACCTGTGTCACCGGTGTCACCTGTGTCACCTGTGTCACACCTGTGTCACCTGTGTCACACCTGTGTCACCTGTGTCACCTGTGTCACACCTGTGTCACACCTGTGTCACACCTGTGTCACCTGTGTCACACCTGTGTCACCTGTGTCACCTGTGTCACCTGTGTCACCTCCTGTGTCACACCTGTGTCACACCTGTGTCACCTGTGTCACCTGTGTCACCTGTGTCACCTGTGTCACACCTGTGTCACACCTGTGTCACCTGTGTCACACCTGTGTCACACACACACACCTGTGTCACACCTGTGTCACACCTGTGTCACCTGTGTCACCTGTGTCACCTGTGTGTCACCTGTGTCACACCTGTGTCACACCTGTGTCACCCCCGTGTCACACCTGTGTCACCTGTGTCACACCTGTGTCACACCTGTGTCACCTGTGTCACCTGTGTCACACCTGTGTCACCTGTGTCACACCTGTGTCACCTCCTGTGTGTCACACCTGTGTCACCTGTGTCACCTGTGTCACACCTGTGTCACACCTGTGTCACCTGTGTCACCTGTGTCACCTGTGTCACACCTGTGTCACACCTGTGTCACCTGTGTCACACCTGTGTCACCTCCTGTGTGTCACACCTGTGTCACCTGTGTCACCTCCTGTGTCACCTGTGTCACCTCCGTGTCATCCCCGTGTCACCTGTGTCACACCTGTGTCACCTCCTGTGTCACCTCTGTGCCACCAAATTTTTGGGATCCCCCATTTTTTTGATTCCCCATTTTTGGGGTTCCCAATTTTTGGGGTGCCCCAATTTTTGGGGTGTCAGTTTTTGGTGTCCCTTGGATTTTGGGATCCCCCATTTTTGGAGTTCCCCGGATTTTGGGGTGCCCACGATTTTGGGGTGCTCCGCATTTTGGGGTGCCCATTTTTGGTGTCCCCCATTTTTGGGGTGCCCAATTTTTAGGGTGCCCCGGATTTTAAGGTTCTCAATTTTTGGGGAACCCCATTTTTGGTGTAACCCATTTTTGCATTGCCCCATTTTTGGGGTGCCTGTTTTTGGTGTCCCATTTTTGGGGCACCCTGGATTTTGGTGTCCCCCTATTTTGGGGTGCCCGTTTGTGGGGTCCCCCATTTTTGGTGTGCCAATTTTTGGGGTACCCCAGTTTTTGGGGTGCGCTGGATTTTAGGGATCCCACATTTTTGCTGTGCCCGGTTTTTAGGCTGCCCCGGATTTTGGGGTGCCCTGGATTTTGGGGTTCCCTGGATTTGGGGCTCCCCAGATTTTGGGGTTCCCCGTTTTTAGGCTGCCCAGTTTTTTGGGGTTCCCCATTTTTGGGGTTCCCCATTTTTAGGCTGCCCTGGATTTTGGGGTGCCCCGTTTTTGGGGTTCCCCGTTTATGGGGTCCCCATTTTTTCGGTTCCCCGTTTTTGGGGTTCCCCGATTTTGGGGTTTCCCGTTTTTGGGGTTCCCCGTTTTTAGGCTGCCCTGGATTTTGGGGTTCCCCGTTTTTGGGGTGCCCAGTTTTTTGGGGTTCCCCGTTTTTGGGATCCCCCATTTCTGGTGTTCCCCGTTCTTGGTGTCCCTCATTTTAGGGATCTCCCATTTTTGGGGTGCCCCGGATTTTGGGGTTTCCCATTTTGGGGTTCCCCATTTTTGGAGTGCCGGATTTTGAGCTGCCCTGGATTTTGGGGTGCCCCGTTTTTGTGGTTCCCGTTTTTGGGGTGCCGGATTTTGGTATCCCCCATTTTTGGTGTCGCCTGTTTTTGGTGTCCCCCGTTTTTGGGGTTCGCCATTTTTGGGGTGCCCATTTTTGGGGTGCCCCAGATTTTGGGGTGCCCCATTTTTGGTGTACCCTGAATTTTGGAGTGCCCCAATTTTGGGTTGCCCATTTTTGGTGTCCCCCATTTTTGGGGTGCCCTATTTTTAGGGTGCCCCGGATTTTAGGGTTCTAAATTTTTGGGGCGCCCCATTTTTGGTGTAACCCATTTTTTGTGTCCCCCATTTTTGCGTTGCCCCATTTCTGTGGTTCCCCGTTTTTGGGGTTGCCCGTTTTTGGGGTTCCCATTTTTGGGGTTCCCATTTTTGGTGTCCCCCATTTTTAAGGTGCCCCGGATTTTGGGGTTCCCCATTTTTGATGTGCCCCAGATTTTGGGATTCCCCATTTTTGGGATTCCCCATTTTTGGGGTTCCCCATTTATGGGGTTGCCCATTTTTGGTGTGCCCAGATTTTGTGGTTCCCCAGATTTTGGGGTGTCCCGTTTTTGGGGTTCCCGGTTTTTGGGGTACCCCAGATTTTGGGACTCCCCGGATTTTGGGGTGTCCCGTTTTTGGGGTTCCCGATTTTGGGGTTCCCCATTTTAGGGATCCCCCATTTTTGGTGTGCCCCGGATTTTGGGGTTCCCGTTTTTGGAGTTCCCGATTTTGGGGTGTCCAGTTTTTTGGGGTTCCCATCTTTGGGATTCCCCGTTTTTGGGGTTCCCCGTTTTTGGTGTGCCCAGTTTTTTGAGGTTCCCCGTTTTTGGGGGTTCCCCATTTTAGGCTGCCCTGGATTTTGGTGTTCCCCATTTTTGGGGTTCCCGTTTTTAGTGTGCCCAGTTTTTTGGTGTCCCCCATTTTTGGGGTTTCCCATTTTTGGGGTTCCCCATTTTTGGGGTTCCCCATTTTTTGGGTCCCCCATTTTTGGGGTCCCCCATTTTTGGGGTTCCCTGGATTTTGGGGTTCCCATTTTTGATGTGCTGGATTTTTGGTGTCCCCCATTTTTAAGGTGCCCCAGATTTTGGGGTTCCCCGTTTTTGGGGTTCCCCGTTTTTGGGGTGCCCAGTTTTTTGGGGTTCCCTGTTTTTGGGATTTCCCATTTTGTGGTTCCCCATTTTTGGGGTTTCTCATTTTGGGGTGCCCCGTTTTTGGGGTTTCCCATTTTGGGGTTCCCCGTTTTTGGGGTTTCCCATTTTGGGGTTCCCCGTTTTTGGGCACCCTGGATTTTGGGGTCCCCCATTTTTGGTGTGCCGATTTTTGGTGTCCCCCATTTTTGGGTGCCCAGTTTTTGGGGTTCCCCATTTTTGGTCTCCCCCATTTTAGGGATCCCCCATTTTTGGTATCCCCCATTTTTGGGGTTGCCCATTTTTGGGGTTCCCGTTTTTGGGGTGACGGATTTTTGGGTGCCGGATTTTCGAGTGCCCCAGATTTTGGGGTTTCCCATGTTTTGGGGTTCCCGTTTTTGGGGTTCCCATTTTTTCGGTGCCCCATTTTCGGTGTCCCCCATTCTTGGGGTCCCCGTTTTTGGGGTTCCCCGTTTTTGATGTGCCCAGATTTTGGGGTTCCCTGTTTTTGGGGTGCCCAGTTTTTTTGTATCCTCCGTTTTTGGGGTTCCCCATTTTTGGTCTCCCCCATTTTAGGGGTTCCCCATTTTTGGGTGCCCCAGATTTTGGGGTTCCCCATTTTCAGTGTCCCCCATTTATGTGGTTCCCCGATTTTGGGGTTCCTGTTTTTGGTGTCCCCCATTTTAGGGATCCCCCGTTTTTGGTGTGCCCAGATTTTGGTGTTCCCGTTTTTGGGACTCCCCATTTTTTGGGGTGTCCCGATTTTGGGGTGTCCCATTTTCGGGGTTCCCGGATTTTGGGGTTCCCTTTTTTTGGGGTTCCCCATTTTTGGTCTCCCCCATTTTTGGTCTCCCCCGTTTTTGGTCTCCCCCATTTTAGGGATCCCCCATTTTTGGGGTCCCCCATTTTTGTGGTTCCCCGTTTTTGGGGTTCCCCATTTTTGGGGTGCCCTGGATTTTGGTGTCCCCATTTTTGGGGTTCCCGATTTTGGTATTCCCCATTTTTGGGGCTCCACAGATTTTGGAGTTCCCGTTTCTGGGACTCCCCATTTTTTGGGGTGCCCTGGATTTTGGGGTTGCCCGTTTTTGGTGTCCCCTGTTTTTGGGGTGCCCAGTTTTTTGGTGTCCCCCGTTTTTGGGACTCCCCATTTTTGGGGTTCCCCATTTTCGGGGTGTCCCGATTTCGGGGTGCCGGGTTTCGGGGTGCCGGATTTCGGGGTCCCCTGGATTTCGGGGTGCCGTATTTCGGGGTGCTCACCTGCGCCGCCATGCCCATGAAGGCCCAGAGCCGGAACATCCGCAGGGGGACGCTCACCAGGTACTGTGGGGACGGCGCCGTTGGGGGACCCCCGGGTTTGGGGGGACCCCCCGCGGGTTTTGGGGGTCCCCCGGGATTTTGGGGGGTCTGGGCGGGAATTTGGGGGGTTCCCGGCTGAAATTTGGGGGTTCTGGGCGGGAATTTTGGGGCTCTGAGTGGGATTTTGGGGTTTCCAGTTGGATTTTGGGGTCTCCCAATAGGATTTTGGGGTTCCCCCCCGATTTTGGGGTTCCCAGTGGGAATTTTGGGGGTTCTGGGCGGGAATTTTGGCGGTTCCCCCACTGATTTTGGGGGTTCTGAGCGGGATTTTGGCGTCTCCCAATGGGATTTTGGGGGTTCCCGGCTGAAATTTGGGGGTTCTGGGCGGGAATTTTGGGGTTCCCAGTGGGATTTTGGCATCTCCCGACAGGATTTTGGGGTTCCCCCCGCAGGTTTTGGGGTTCCCCGTGGGATTTTGGGGGGTCTGGGCGGGAATTTTGGGGGTTCCCCGCTGAAATTTGGGGGTTCTGGGTGGGAATTTTGGGGTTCTGAGCGGGATTTTGGCATCTCCCGATGGGATTTTGGGGTTCCCAGTTGGATTTTTGGGGTTCCCAGTTGGATTTTGGTGGGTCTGGGCGGGAATTTTGGGGGTTCCCGGCTGAAATTTAGGGGTTCTGGGTGGGAATTTTGGGGTTCTGAACGGGATTTTGGCGTCTCCCGATGGGATTTTGGGGGTTCCTGGCTGAAATTTGGGGGTTCCCAGTTGGATTTTGGGGGTTCCCTGGTAGGATTTTGGGGTTCCCCCCCTGATTTTGGGGTTCCCAGTTGGATTTTGGGCGTTCTTGGTGGGATTTTGGGGGGTCTGGGCGGGAATTTTGGCGGTTCACCGCTGAAATTTGGGGTTTCTGGGTGGGAATTTTGGGGTTCTGAGCGGGATTTTGGGGTTTCCAGTTGGATTTTGGGGTCTCCCAATGGGATTTTGGGGTTCCCCCCCGATTTTGGGGGTCCTTGGTGGGATTTTGGGGGTTCTGTGTGGGAATTTTGGGGTTCTGAGCGGGATTTTGGCGTCTCCCGATGGGATTTTGGGGTTCCCAGTTGGATTTTGGGGTTCCCAGTTGGATTTTGGGGTCTCCCAATGGGATTTTGGGATTCCCCCCTTGATTTTGGGGTTCCCAGTAGGATTTTGGGGGTTCCCCCCTTAATTTTGGGGTTCCCAGTTGGATTTTGGGGGTTCCCTGGTGGGATTTTGGGGTTCCCCCCCGATTTTGGGGTTCCCAGTTGGATTTTGGTGGTTCCCTGGTGGGATTTGTGGGTCCCCCCCTGATTTTGGGGTCTCCCAATGGGATTTTGGGGTTCCCCCCCTGATTTGGGGGTTCCCAGTTGGATTTTGGGGGTTCCCTGGTGGAATTTGGGGGTCCTTGGTGGGATTTTGGGGGTTCCTGGCTGAAATTTGGGGGTTCCCAGTTGGATTTTGGGGATTCCCTGGTGGGATTTTGGGGTTCCCCCCTTGATTTTGGGGTCTCCCAATGGGATTTTGGGGTTCCCCCCCGATTTTGGGGTTCCCAGTGGGAATTTTGGGAGTTCTGGGAGGGAATTTTGGGGGTTCCCGGCTGAAATTTGGGGGTTCTGGGTGGGAATTTTGGGGTTCTGAGCGGGATTTTGGCATCTCCTGATGGGATTTTGGGGGTTCCCAGTTGGAGTTTGGGGGTTCCCAGTTGGATTTTGGGGTTCCCCCCCTGATTTTGGGGTTCCCAGTTGGATTTGTGGGTTCCCAGTTGGATTTTGGGGTTCCCCCCGATTTTGGGGTCTCCCAATGTGATTTTGGGGTTCCCGGTTGGATTTTGGGGTTCCCAGTTGGATTTTGGGGGTCCTTGGTGGGATTTGGGGACACCCCCGCGGGTTTTGGGGTTCCCAGTGGGAATTTAGGGGGTTCTGGGCGGGAATTTTGGTGGTTCCCCCACTGATTTTGGGGGTTCTTAGTGGGATTTTGGGGTTCCCAGTTGGATTTTGGGGTTCCCAGTGGGATTTTGGGGGGTCTGGGTGGGAATTTTGGGGGTTCCCCGCTGAAATTTGGGGGTTCTGGGCGGGAATTTTGGGGCTCTGAGAGGGATTTTGGCGTCTCCCAATGGGATTTTGGGGGTTCCTGGTGGGAATTTTGATTTTCCCTATTGGATTTTGGGGTTCCCCCCTGATTTGGCGTCTCCCAATGGGATTTTGGGGTTCCCCCCCTGATTTTGGGGGTTCCCAGTTGGATTTTGGGGGTTCCCTGGTGGGATTTTTGGGGTTCCCAGTTGGATTTTGGGTTTCCCAGTTGGATTTTGGGGTCTCCCGATGGGATTTTGGCATCTCCCGATGGGATTTTGGGGGTTCCTGGCTGAAATTTGGGGTCTCCCAATGGGATTTTGGGGGTCCCAGTTGGATTTTGGGGGTTCCCAGTTGGATTTTGGGGGTTCCTGGTTGGAATTTTGATTTTCCCTATTGGATTTTGGGGTTCCCAATGGGGATTTTGGGTTCCCAGTGGGAATTTTGGGGGTCCTTGGTGGGATTTTGGGGTTCCCCCCCTGGTTTTGGGGTTCCCAGTTGGATTTTGGGGTTCCCAATGGGAATTTTGGGGTTTCTGGTTGGAATTTTGGTTTTCCCTGTTGGATTTCGGGGTCCCCCAATGGGAATTTTGTTTTTCCCCCTGGGAATTTCGGGCTCCCTGTTGGGTTTGGGTTTTCCCTTTGGGAATGTGGGGTTCCCTTTGGGAATTTCGGGGTCCCCGCTGGATTTGGGTGTTCCCCCCCCGGGAATTTGGGATTTCCCTTTGGGAATTTGGGATTTCCCTTTGGGAATTTTGGGATTTCCCTGTTGGATTTTGGGGTTCCCTTTGGGAATTTGGGGTTTCCTTTGGGAATTTGGGATTTCCCTTTGGGAATTTGGGGTTCCCTTTGGGGATTTGGGATTTCCCTTTGGGAATTTTGGGGTCCCCCTAATGGGAATTTCGTTTTTCCCTTTGGGAATTTGGGGTTCCCTTTGGGAATTTGGGGTTCCCTTTCGGATTTTGGGGTTCCCTTTGGGAATTTGGGGTTCCCTTTGGGAATTTGGGGTTCCCTTTGGGAACTTGGGATTTCCCTTTGGGAATTTGGGGATTTCCCTTTGGGAATTTGGGATTTCCCTTTGGGAATTTGGGTTTTCCCCTGGGAATTTGGGGTTCCCTTTGGGAATTTGGGTTTTCCCTTTGGGAATTTCGGGGTCCCTGGTAAATTTTGGTTTTCCCTGTGGGATTTTTGGGTTCCCTTTGGGAATTGGGGATTTCCCTTTGGGAATTTGGGGTTCCCTGTGGGAATTTGGGATTTCCCTTTGGAAATTTTGGGGTTCCCGGGATTTTGGGGTCCCCCTAATGGGAATTTCGGTTTTCCCCCTGGGAATTTTGTTTTTCCCTTTGGGAATTTGGGATTTCCCCTGGGAATTTGGGGTTTCCCTTTGGGATTTTGGGGTTCCCTGTGGGAATTTGGGTTTCCCTGTGGGAATTTGGGATTTCCCTTTGGGAATTTGGGGTTCCCTGTGGGAATTTGGGTTTTCCCTATTGGATTTTTGGGGTTCCCTTTGGGAATTTTGGTTTTCCCTGCTGGATTTTTGTTTTCCCTTTGGGAATTTCAGGGTCCCTGTTGGATTTTGGGGTTCCCTATTGGATTTCGGTTTTCCTTTTGGGAATTTTGGGGTTCCCAATGGGAATTTCGTTTTTCCTCCTGGGAAATTTGTTTTTCCCTTTGGGAATTTCAGGGTCCCCGCTGGATTTTGGGGTTCCCTATTGGATTTGGGTTTTCCCTTTGGGAATTTGGGGTTCCCTGTTGGATTTGGGATTTCCCTGTGGGAATTTCGGGGTTCCCTTTGGGAATTTGGGATTTCCCCTGGGATTTTGGTTTTCCCTATTGGATTTTTGGGGTTCCCTATTGGATTTTGGGGTTCCCTGTGGGATTTTGGGGGCACTGACCTCGTGGAAGAAGGCCGAGGCGAGGAACACGGCCGCCTGCGCCGTGCGCTTCCCCACCCCCCGCCGCAGCATCGGCTTGTAGAAGTGCCTGCACCCCAAAAATCACCCCAAAATCCGCTGTGGCACCCCAAAAACCACCCCAAAATCCACCCCAAAAACCACCCCAAAAACCGCCCCAAAAATCACCCTGGCACCCCAAAAACCACCCCAAAAACCACCGTGGAACCCCAAAAACCACCCCAAAAACCACCCCAAAAACTGCCGTGGCACCCCAAAAACCGCCGTGGCACCCCAAAATCCACCGGGGTACCCCAAAAACACCCCAAAAACTGCCGTGGCACCCCAAATCCACCCCAAAACCACCGTGGCACCCCAAAAACCACCGTGGCACCCCCAAAATCACCCCAAAAACAGCCGTGGCACCTCAAAATCCACCGTGGCACCCCAAAAACCCCCAAATTCCTCCCCAAAATCCCCCCAAAAAACCCAAATTCCCCCAAAATCCCCCTCAACCCCCCAAATTCCCCAAAAACCCCAAGTTCCTCCCCAAAAACTCCAAATTCCCCCCAAAAATTCCCCACATTTCCCCCAAAAACCCAAATTCCCCCAAAAAACCCCAAATTCCCCCCAGAATCCCCCCAAAAAACCCCAAATTCCCCCCAAATTCCTCCCCAAAATCTCCCAAATTTCCCCCCAGAATCCCCCCAAAAAACCCTAATTCCCCCAAAATTCCCCCCAAAATCCCCCCCAAAACCTCAAATTCCTCCCCAAAATCCCCCCAAAACCCCCCAAATTACCCCCAAAACCCCCAAATTCCCCCCATAAATCCCCCCCCAAAAACTCCAAGTTCGTCCCCAAAAAGTCAAAATTCCCCCCCAAAATTCCCCAAATTCCTCCCCAAAATTCCCCAAATTCTCCCCAAAAAACCCCAAATTCCCCCCAGAATCCCCCCAAAAAAACCCAAATTCCCCCGAAAATCCCCCCCAAAATCCCAAATTCCCCCGAAAATCCCCCCAAATCCCCCAAATCCCCCAAAATCCCCAAAAATCCCCCAAAAATCCCCCAAATCCCCACCTGAGGCACCACTTGTGCACGGGGATGTTCCAGTTCTGCCAGAAGTAGGTGACGGATTCCGAATTCCTGCGGCAAAAACGGGGCTCAGGCACCCCAAAATCACCCCAAATCACCCCAAAATCCCCCCAAATCCCAAAATCACCCCAAAATCCCAAATTCCCCTAAAATACCCCAAAAATCCCCCAAAAATCCTCCCAAAATCCTTCGAAATCTCCCTAAAATCCATATAAAATCCCACCCAAAGCCCCCAAAAACTCCCCAAAATCACCCCAAAAACTCCCCAAAATCCCAAATCCGCCCCAAACCCCCAAATTCATCCGAAATCCACCCAAAAATCCCAAATTCACTCAAAAAATCCTCCTAAAACCCCCCAAAATCCCAAATTCCCCCCAAGTAGGTGACGGATTCTGAATTCCTGTGTCAAAAAAAGGGGTTCAGGCACCCCAAATCACCCCAAAATCACCCCAAATTCACCCCAAATCCCAAATCCACCCCAAAATCCCAAATTCCCCTAAAATATCCCAAAAATCCCCCAAAAATCTTCCCAAAATCCTTCAAAATCTCCCTAAAATCCACATAAAATCCCACCCAAAGCCCCCAAAATGCCCCCAAAAACTCCCCAAAATCACCCCAAAAACTCCCCAAAATCCCAAATCCACCCCAAAACTCCAAATTCACCCAAAAAACCCCCCAAATCCCCCTAATATCCCCCTAAATTCCCCTAAAACTCCAAACTTTCCCCTAAAAACCCCCCTAAAATCCCCCAAAATCTCCCCAAATCCACCCAAATTCCTGCAAAATCCCCCAAAATCCCTCTAAAACCTCTCCAGAATCTCGAATTTTCCGCCAATATCCCCCAAAATCCCCCCAAAATCTTCCCAAAATCTTCCCAAAATCCTGAATTTCCCCCAAAATCCCTTCCAAAATCCCCCTAATTACCCCTAATTACCCCCTAGTTACCCTCAAATCCACTCAAAATCTCCCAAAATGCCCCTAAAATCCTCCCAAAATCCCCCGAAAACTCCAAATTTCTCCCCAAATCCCCCCCAAAAAACCCTCCAAAAATCTGAATTTTCCCCCCAAAATCCTCATTTTTCCCCACTAAAATCTCCCTAAAATCTGAATTTTCCCCCAAAATCCTGATTTTTTTTTCTCAAAAATCCCCCTAAAATCCCCCTAAAATCCCCCAAAACCTCCAAATTTCTCCCCAAATCCCCCCAAAAATCCCCCAAAATTCTGAATTTCCCCCAAAAATCCTCATTTTTTTTCAAAAATCCCACTAAAATCCCCCCTAAAATCCCCCCAAAATTCCCCGAAAAATCTGAATTTTCCCCAAAAATCCTCATTTTTTCCCACTAAAATCCCCCCAAAATCTGAATTTTCCCCCCAAATCCTCATTTTATCCCACTAAAATCCCCCCAAAAACTCCAAATTTCTCCCCAAATCCCCCCGAAACCCCCAAAAACCTGAATTTTCCCAAAATCCCCGGAATTCCCCCCAAATCTCACCACCAGTCGCGGTAGAACTGGCGGTCCCCGAAGCGCAGCAGCTCCGCCCCCAAAACTCTGAATTTTCCCAAAATCCCCGGAATTCCCCCCAAAATCCCCCCAAAAATCCAAATTTCTCCCGAAATCCCCCAAAATCCCCCAAAATTCCCCCAAAATCCCTCTAAAACCCCTCCAGAATCTCGAATTTTCCGCCAATATCCCCCAAAATCCCCCCAAAATCCCTTCCAAAATCCTGAATTTCCCCCAAAATCCCTTCCAAAATCCCACCCAAAACCCTCTAATTACCCCCTAAATCCCCTCAAATCCCCCCAAAATCTCCTAAAATCCCCCAAAATCCCCCGAAAACTCCAAATTTCTCCCCAAAAATCCTCCGAAAAATCTGAATTTTCTCCCAAAAATCCTCATTTTTTCCCACTAAAATCCCCCCAAAATGCCCCGAAAACTCCAAATTTCTCCCCAAAAATCCCCCAAAACCCCCAAAATTCTGAATTCCCCCAAAATTGCCCAAAATCGCCTGAATTCCCCCCAAATCTCACCACCAGTCGCGGTAGAACTGGCGGTCCCCGAAGCGCAGCAGCTCCGCCCCCAAAACTCTGAATTTTCCCAAAATCCCCGGAATTCCCCCCAAACCCCCCTGTAAACCCCCAAAAACCTGAATTTTCCCAAAATCCCCAAAAATCCCCCCAAAATCCCGAATTCCCCCAAAAATCCCCCCAAAATCCCCCCAAAATCCCCCGAAAACTCCAAATTTCTCCCCAAAATCTCCCCAAAAAACCCAAATTCCCCCAAAAATGCCCCCAAAAAACCCAAATTCCCCCCAAAAATCCCCCCCAAAAATCCCAAATTCCCCCCAAAATCCCTTCCAAAATCCCCCTAATTACCCCTAAATCGCCTCGAAATCCCCCTCAAATCCACCCAAAATCTCCCCAAAATCCCCCTAAAATTCCCCCAAAATCCCCTGTAAACTCCAAATTTCTCCCCAAATCCCCCAAAAACCCCCAAAAATCCGAATTTCTCCCCTAATCCCCCCCAAAAATCTGAATTTTCCCCCAAAATCCTCATTTTTCCCCACTAACATATCCCCCCAAAATCCCTCTAAAACCCCTCCAGAATCTCGAATTTTCCGCCAATATGCCGCAAAATCCCCCCAAAAATCCCCCCAAAATTCCCAAAATTGCCCAAAATCCCCCGAAATCCCCCCAAAAACCTGAATTTTCCCAAAATCCCCGGAATTTGCCCCAAATCTCACCACCAGTCGCGGTAGAACTGGCGGTCCCCGAAGCGCAGCAGCTCCGCCCCCAAAACTCTGAATTTTCCCAAAATCCCCGGAATTCCCCCCAAACCCCCCTGTAAACCCCCAAAAACCTGAATTTTCCCAAAATCCCCGGAATTTCCCCCAAAATCCCCCGAAAACCCCAAATTTCTCTCCAAATCCCCCCCCCAAAACCCCCCAAAAAATCTGAATTTTCCCCCAAAATCCTCATTTTTTCCCACTAAAATCCCCCTAAAATCCCCCAAAAACCCCAAATTTCTCCCCCAAAAAAACCCAAAAACCTGAATTTTCCCAAAATCCCCGGAATTCCCCCCAAATCTCACCACCAGTCGCGGTAGAACTGGCGGTCCCCGAAGCGCAGCAGCTCCGCCCCCGCGTTCAGACACGAGTGGAAGAACCAATAGAAGAAAATCAGCCAGATCAGGTGGTTCGGCACCTTTTGGGGCAAAAAACGGAGATTTTGGGAAAATTACACTTCTGGGGGGGGATTGGGGAGAAATTTGGGGGAGTTTGGGGAGAAATTTGGGGTTTTTGGGGATTTTGGGGGGATTTTAAGGGGGAAAAATGAGAATTTTTTGGGAAAATTCAGATTTTTATTTGGAGTTTTTGGGGGATTTTGGGTGAATTTTGGGGGGATTTTAGTGGGATTTTAGTGGGAAAAAATGAGGATTTTTGGGGTTTTTTTTGGGGGGATTTGGGGAGAAATTTGGAGTTTTCGGGGCATTTTGGGGAGGAATTTCAGAGAGTTGGGGGTTTTTGGGGGTTTTTGGGGGGATTTTGGGGGGATTTTAGGAGGATTTTACTGGAAAAAAATCAGGATTTTTTGGGAAAATTCAGATTTTTGGGGGATTTTGGGGGGGATTTGGGGAGAAATTTGGGGGGAATTTGGGGAAAAATTTGGGGTTTTTTGGGGGATTTTGGGGGGATTTTAGGGGGATTTTAGGGGGATTTTTGAGAAAAAAATCAGGATTTTTTGGGAAAATTCAGATTTTTGGGGGGATTTGGGGAGAAATTTGGAGTTTTCGGAGCATTTTGGGGGGACTTCAGTGGGAAAAAATTCAGATTTTTGGGGGAAAATTCAGATTTTTGGGGGAAAATTCAGATTTTTGGGGGGTTTGGGGAGAAATTTGGAGTTTTTGGGGGATTTTGGGGGGATTTTAGTGGGAAAAAATGAGGATTTTGGGGGAAAATTCAGATTTTTGGGGTTTTTGGGGAGGGTTGAGGGGGATTTTGGAGATTTTGGGGTAAATTTGGGGGATTTTGGGGTTCTGGACTCACCGCCAGCTTCAGGAGGCGCTCGATGATCCGGGAATAATCCATGTCCTGGGCAAAAGAGAAATTCGGGATTTTGGGGTTTTTGGGGTTTTTTGGGGGATTTAGGGAGATTTTCAGATTTTTGGGATTTTCTTGGGGGGATTTTGGGGGGTTTGAGGAAGGAATTGGGGAAATTTGGGGTTTTTGGGGTTTTTTGGGGGGTTTTGGGGATGGATTTGGGGATTTTGGGATTTGGAGGGGAAATTGAGGGGGGATTTTGAGAGAATTTGGGATTTTTTTGGGGATTTTGTGAGGAATTCGGGATTTTTGGGGGGGTTTGTTAGAATTTTGGGATTTTGGGGGGTTTGTTGGGATTTTGAGGGGATTTTGGGGGAATTTAGGGCAATTTTGGGGGGATTTGGGGGGCATTTTGGGGAGATTTAGGGGGATTTTGGGGAATTTTGGGGAGAATTTTGGGGGAATTTTGGGGGAATTTGTGGGAATTTGGGGTAATTCAGGTTTTTGGCAGGGAATTCTGGGGGAATTTGGGAGATTTTGGGGGATTTTGGCGGAATTCAGGGAGATTTTTGGGGGAATTCAGGGGAATTTGGGGGATTAGGGGGAATTCAGATTTTTGGCTGGGAATTCTGTGGGAATTTGGGGGATTTTTGGGGGGAATTTTTGGGGAATTTTGGGGAATTCAGGGAGAATTTGGGGGGATTTTGGGGGGAATTTTGGGGGGAATTTTGGGGAATTTGGGGGATTTTGGGGGGATTTGGGAGAATTCAAGTTTTTGTCAGGGAATTTTGGGGGAATTTGGGGGAATTTGTGGGAATTTGAGGGAATTCAGGTTTTAGGCAGGGAATTCTGGGGGAATTTGGGGGATTTTGGGGGGAATTTTTTGGAATTTGTGGAAATTTGGGGGGATTTTGGGGAGAATTTGGGGTAATTCAGGTTTTTGTCAGGGAATTCTGTGGATATTTGGGAGATCTTTGGGGGGAATTTTGGGGAATTTGGGGAGATTTTGGGGGGAATTTTGGGGGGAATTTGGGGTAATTCAGGTTTTTGGCAGGGAATTCTGGGGGAATTTGGGAGATTTTGGGGGGAATTTTGGGGAATTTGGGGGATTAGGGGGAATTCAGATTTTTGGCAGAGAATTCTTGGGGAATTTGGGAGATTTTGGGGGAAATTTGGGAGATTTTGGGGGGAAATTTGGGGGATTTTGGTGGAATTCAGGGAGATTTTTAGGGGAATTCAGGGGAATTTGGGGATTAGGGGAAATTCAGATTTTTGACAAGGAATTCTTGGGGAATTTGAAGATTTTGGGGGACATTCGGGAGAATTTGGGGGGATTTTGGGGGGAATTTGGGGTAATTCAGGTTTTTGTCAGGGAATTCTGGGGGAATTTGGGAGATTTTGGGGGGAATTTTGGGGGAATTTTGGGGGAATTTGGGGGAATTTGGGGGAATTTTGGGGAGAATTTGGGGTAATTCAGGTTTTTGTCAGGGAATTTTGGGGGAATTTGGGGAATTTTGGGGGAAATTTGTGGGAATTTGGGGGAATTTGTGGGAATTTGAGGGAAATTCAGGTTTTTGGCAGGGAATTCTTGGGGGAATTTGGGAGATTTTGGGGGAATTTTGGGGAGAATTTGGGGGAATTTGGGGAGATTTTTGGGGGAATTCAGGGGAATTTGGAGGATTTTGGAAATTCAGATTTTTGGCTGGGAATTCTTGGGGAATTTGGAGATTTTGGGGGAAATTTTGGAGATATTGGGGGGAATTTTGGGGAGATTTTGGGGGGAATTTTGGGAGAATTTTGGGGAATTCAGGGGAATTTGGGGATTAGGGGAAATTCAGATTTTTGGCTGGGAATTCTTGGGGAATTTGGAGATTTTGGGGGAAATTTGGGAGATTTTGGGAGATTTTGGGGGGGATTTTGGGGGAATTTTGGGGGAATTTGGGGAAATTTTGGGGGGATTTTGGGGGGATTTTGGGGAATTTGGGGAGGGGGCTGCAGGAGCCCCCCAGACTCACCCGAAAAGGTTTCATGGAATTTTGGATGGTGGGAACCATCCACTGCAAACGGGGAAAAGAGCGGCTGCAGCACCCAAAACACCCCAAAATATCCCAAAAACACCCCAAAATATCCCAAAAACACCCCAAAATTCCCAAAAAATCCAAAACCACCCAAAAACAACAAAAAAACCACCCAAAACCACCCAAAACCAACAAAAATCCCACCCAAAACCACCCAAAAAACATGAGAAAACGTCCAAAAACGCCCAAAATTTCCCCCCAAAATACAAAAAACAAAAAAACTCCAAAACTCCCCCCCAAACCCCAAAAAAAGCCCAAAAAGCCAAAAAAAGCCCTAAAAAGCCCCAAAACCTGCAAAAAATAATAAAAAAACTCACAAAAACCCCACAAAACCCAAAAAAAATCCCCCCCAAAAATAAAAAAAACCCTAAAAAGTCCCCAAGAGACTCTAAAGGCCTCCAAAAAAACCAAAAAAAACCCCAAAACCCCCCGAGAAAACCCCAAAAACTGCAAAAAAACCCAAAAAACACCCCCCAAAAACCCCCAAATCCCCCCAAACCCCAAAAATATCATTAAAAAAGCCAAAAAATCCCCCCAAAAAACCCAAAAACCCCCAAAATCCCCACAAAACCACAAGAAATTTTAAAAAAACCCAAATCCGCCCCAAAAATCCCATAAAAATCCCCAAAAGCCCCCAAAACCCCAAAAATCTTCCCACAACCCCCCAAAAAATGTTCCAGAAACCCCAAAAATTCCTAAAAAACCAAAAAAAAAAATCCCTAAAAACCCCCAAGAAAACCCCAAAAACCTCCCAAAAATCCCCCAAAACCAACCCAAAAATCTCCTAAAATCCCAAAAACCCCAAAACTTCCCAAAAATCCCAAAACCTCCCAAAAATCCCCCAAAACCAAAAAAACTCCCAAAAATCCCAAAAATCCCCAAAACCCCAAAAATCCCCCAAAACCTCCCAAAAATCCCCAAAATACCAAAAATCCCCAAATATCCCAAAAAACTCTCCAAAATCCCCAAAAATCCCCCAAAACCTCCCAAAATCCCCAAACCCACAAAATCCCCCCAAAAATCCCCAAAAACCTCACAAAAATCCCTCAAATCCCCAAAACCTCCCAAAAATCCCCAAAATCCCCCAAACTCCTCCTAAAAATCCCCAAAACCCCAAAAATCCCCAAAAACCTCCCAAAAATTCCCCAAAATCCCCCAAACTCCTCCTAAAAATCCCCAAAACCCCAAAAATCCCCCCAAAATGCCCCAAAAATCCCCCAAAACCCCTCCCAAAAATCCCCAAAAACCTCCCAAAAAAACCCCAAAACCTCCCAAAAACCACCCAAAAATCCCCCAAAAATGCCCCAAAAACCCCTAAAATCCTCCCCAAAACTCCCAAAATGCCCCAAAATCCCCACAAAAAGCCCCAAAAATCCCCAAAACCCCCCCAAATCCCCCCTCACCTGCTGGATCAGCCCCACCTGGAGCTGCGTGAAGAAAAGCTGAGGGGGGGAGGGGCTGTGAGACCCCAGACCCAATTCAGGGACCCCCTGACCCCTCCCCCACCCACTGACCCCACCCCAAATTCACACTGACCCCTCCTCAAATCCCTCCTGGGACCCCCGAAATTCCTCCTGGGACCCCCCCAACCCCCCTGGGACCCCCCAAATCCCTCCTGGGACCCCCCAAACCAACCCCAAATCCCCCCAGGACCCCCCAAATTCCCCCTGGGACACCTCAAATCCCCCCCCCCGGGACCCCCAAATCCCCCCTGGGACCCCCAAACCCCCCCTGGGATCCAACAAACACCCCCCAAATCTTCTCTGGGACCCCCCAAACCCCCCCTGGGATCCTCCAAATCCCCTCAAACCTCTCTCAAATCCCCCCTGGGACCCCCAAACCCACCCTGGGACCCCCCAAACTGCCCCCAAATTCCTCCTGGGATCCATCAAACCCCCCCAAACCCACCCTAGGACCCCCTAAATCCCCCCTGGGACCCCCAAATCCCCCCTGGGACCCCCAAATACCCCCTGGGACCCCTCAAACCACCCCCAGATTCCTCCTGGGACCCCCCAAACCCCCCCCGGGATCCCCCAAACCCCCCCCGGGACCCCCTAAATCCCCCCTGGGACCCCTCAAACTGCCCCCAGATTCCTCCTGGGACCCCCCAAACCCCCCCAAATCCCCCCGGGACCCCCCAAACCCCCCAAATCCCCCCTGGGAACCCCAAATCCCCCCTCGGATCATCCAAATCCCCTCAAACCTCCATCAAATCCACACTGGGACCCCCCAAACCCCCCCAAACCCCCCCTGGGACCCCTCAAACCACCCCCAGATTCCTCCTGGGACCCCCCAAACCCCCCTGGGACCCCTCAAACCCCCCCTGGGATCCAACAAACATCCCCCAACCCCCCCTGGGATCCCCCAAATCCCCTCAAACCTCTCTCAATTCCCTCCTGGGACCCCCCAAAGGCCCCAAATCCCCCCTGGGACCCCTCAAACCACCCCCAAATTCCTCCTGGGACCCCCCAAACCTCCCCAAATTCCCCTGGGACCCCCCAGGACCCCCAATCCCCGACCATCTCGCAGAGGCGGCGCAGCAGGAAGCGTTTCCTGAGGCGGGGGGAGCGCGGGAAGTTCAGCTCGTAGCAGAGGGTGGGGGCCAGCAGGAAATAGTACAGGTCTGGGGGGACACGGCCTCAGGGACCCCGAAACACCCCCAAAAACACCCCAAAAATACCCCCAAACCAGCCCAAAAACACCCCCAGGAACACCCCAAAACCAGCCTGAAAACCCACCAGGAACATCCCAAAAACACCCTGAAAAAATCCCAAGAACACCCCCAGGAACATCCCAAAACCACCCTGAAAATACCCCAAAAACACCCCCAGGAACATCCCAAAAACAGCCCGAAAACACCCCCAGGAACACCCCAAAAACACCCCAAAAACGCCCCCAGGAACATCCCAAAAATACCCCTGGAACAGCCTCAAAAAATGCACCAAAAATGCCCCAAAACCACCCCCAACAACACCCTGAGAACACCCCAAAACCATCCCCAGGAACATCCTAAAATGCCCCCGAAACAGCCTCAAAAAATCCACCAAAAATGCCCCAAAACCACCCCCAGGAACATCCCAAAACCACCCCAAAAACACCCTCAGGAACACCCTAAAAACACCCTGAAAACACCCCAAAATCACCCTGAGAACACCCCAAAATCACTCTGAAAATACCCCAAACACCCTGAAAACACCCCAAAAACACCCAGAAAACGCCCCAAAACTCCCCCAAAATTACCCCAAAATCACCCCAAAATCACCCCCAGGAACACCCCAAAAACGCCCCCAGGAACATCCCAAAAATGCCCCCAGGAACACCCCAAAAAACCACTGAAACAGCCCCCAAAAATTTGGGAATTTGGGCTTCGAGAGAAGATTTTGGGAATATTTTAGGAAGATTTTGGGGTGTTTGGGAGATTTTAGGGCATTTTGGGGTGAATTTGGGGTATTTTTGGGGGTATTTTGGGGTGAATTTGGGGTATTTTTGGGGGTATTTTGGGGTGATTTTGGGGATATTTTGGGGATATTTTGGGGATATTTTGGGATATTTTGGGGTGATTTTGGGGTAATTTTGGGGATATTTTGGGGATAATTTGGGATATTTTGGTGATATTTTTGGGGGTATTTTGGGGATATTTTGAGGTGATTTCAGGGATAATTTGGGGGATATTTTGGGGATATTTTGGGAGGGATTTTAGGAATATTTTGGGGTGATTTTGGGGGATATTTTGGTGATATTTTGGGGCATTTTGCCCCCCACTCACTGCGGTAGCTGAGGTTCTCCGGGTGGATGACCTCGGGGGATTTTGGGGCAGATTTTGGGAGGGATTTTGGGGATATTTTGGGGATATTTGGGGGATATTTTGGGGATATTTTTGGGGTGATTCTGGGGATATTTTGGGGTGACTTTGGAGATATTTTGGGGAGTATTTTGGGGATATTTTGGGTTGATTCTGGGGATATTTTGAGAGGGATTTTGGGGATATTTTGGGAGGGATTTTAGGGATATTTTGGGGATATTTTGGGGTTATTTTGGGGGTACTTTGGGGTGATTTTGGGAATATTTTGGGGGATATTTTGGGGATATGTTGGGGATATGTTGGGGGATATTTTGGGGGTATTTTGGGGATATGTTGGGGATATTTTGGGGGATATTTTGGGGGTATTTTGGGGTGATTTTGGGGATATTTTGGGAGGTATTTTGGGGATATTTTGGGGTGATTTTGGGGATATTTTGGGAGGGATTTTAGGGATATTTTGGGGTGATTTTGGGAGGGATTTTGGGGATATTCTGGGGATATTTGGGGGATATTTTGGGAGGTATTTTGGGGATATTTTGGGGTGATTCTGGGGATATTTTTGGGGATATTTTGGGGATATTTTGAGGATATTTTGGGGATATTTTGAGGTGATTTCGGGTATATTTTGGGGGATATTTTGGGGACATTTTGGTGATATTTTGGGGTATTTTGGCCCCCCACTCACTGCGGTAGCTCAGGTTCTCCGGGTGGATGACCTCGGGGGATTTTGGGGATATTTTGGGGATATTTTGAGGTGATTTCAGGGATATTTTGGGGGATATTTTGGGGATATTTTGGGGATATTTTGGGAATATTTTGGGGATATTTTGGGGACATTTTAGGAGGGATTTTAGGGATATGTTGGGGATATTTTGGGGTGATTTTGGAGATATTTTGAGAGCAATTGTGGGGATATTTTGAGGGATATTTTGGGGATATTTAGGGATATTTTGGGAGGGATTTTGGGGATATTTTGGGGTGATTTTGGGGATATTTTTGGGGTGATTTTGGGGTGATTTTGGGGATAATTTGGGATATTTTGGTGATATTTTTGGGGGTATTTTGGGGATATTTTGAGGTGACTTCAGGGATATTTTGGGGCAGATTTTGGTGATATTTTGGGGATATTTTGGGGTACTTTGGCCCCCACTCACTGCGGTAGCTGAGGTTCTCCGGGTACTCCACCTCTCGGTGCGCCACGTCCCCGTTGGCTCTGCGGGCTGGGGACCCCTCGGTGAACCCCCAAATTGCGTCTGGGGGTGTCTGTAACCCCCCCAAACCCCCTCGGTACCTTCCTCACCCCCCTGGGGCGGTTTTTGGGGCGTTTTTGGGGCGTTTTGGGGGCGCTGGCGGCACCACTTGTTGACGTCGTGGAAGGAGAAGAGCTTGAGGAAGAGCACGGTGTGGATGCCCAGCGCGAAGGCGGCGCCCACTGAGGGAATTTGGGGGGGCTCAGCGGGTTTTGGGGGTTTCCCCCAAGGGGTGAACCCCGATTTTGGGGTGCCCCACACCCCCAGACTCACCCGGGGTGACGGAGGGCAGCAGCAGCACCACGGCCGCCGGGAAGCAGAGGATGCTCAGGAGGTTGAGGCAGCGCAGCGCCGACCCCGCGCGCTCCGACAGGGAGCCCTGGGGGGGCAGGGAGCACCCCAAAATGCAGCCAAATGGTCCCCAAAATGTACACAAAATATCCTCAAAATACAGCCAAATGGTTCCCAAAATATCCCCAAAATATCCCCAAAGTATCCCCAAAATATCCCTGAATAATCCCCAAAATACAGCAAAATAGTCCCCAAAGTGTCCCCAAAATATCCCCAAAATATCCCTGAATAACCCCCAAAATACAGCAAAATAGTCCCCAAAGTGTACACAAAATATCCCCAAAATGCAGCAAAATAGTCCCCAAAATATCCCCAAAATATCCCCAAATCCCCCCAAAATCCCCCTAAATCCCCCCAAATCCCCCCCAAATCTCCCCAAATCCCCCCAAAATCCCCCCCAAACCCCCTGAAAATCCCTTTAAAACCCTCAAATCTCCCAAAATCCTCCCCAAATCCCCCCAAAATCCCTCTAAAATCCCCCCCAAATCTCCCCAAAACCCCCAAAATCCCCCTCATATCTCCCCAAAATCCCCCCAAATCCCCCCAAATCCCCCAAAATCTCCCCAAAATCTTCCCCAAATCCCCCCAAAATCCCCCCAAAATCCCTCCAAATCTCCCCCAAAATCCCCCCAAACCCCCCCAAATCCTCCCCAGATCCCCCCAAAACTCCCCCCAAATCCCCCCAAAATCCCCCCAAAATCCCTCTAAAATACCCCCAAATCTCCCCAAATCCCCCCAAATCCCCCAAATCTCCCCCAAAATCCCCCAAAATCCCCCCAAATCCCCCCAAACCTCCAGAAATCCCGCCAAAATCCCCCCAAATCCCCCGAATTTCCCCCAAATCCCCCCAAAATCCCCCCAAATCCCCCCAAATCCCCCCAAATTCTCCCCCCAAAACCCCCCCAAATCTCCCCAAAATCCCCTAAAATCCCCCCAAAATCCCCCAAATCCCCCCAAAATCCCCCCAAATTCTCCCCAAATCCCCCCAAATTCCCCCAAAAATCCCTTAAAACCCTAAAATCCCCAAAATCCCCCAAATCCCCCCAAAATCCCCCAAATCCCTCCAAAATCCCCCCAAAATCCCCCCAAATCCCCCCAAAAATCCCCCTAAAATCCCCCCCAAACCCCCCAAAATCCCCCAAATCCCCCCCAAATCACCCCAAATCCCCCCAAATCCCCCCAAATCCCCCGAATTTCCCCCAAATCCCCCCAAAATCCCCCCAAATCCCCCCAAATTTTCCCCCCAAAACCCCCCCAAATCTCCCCAAAATCCCCTAAAATCCCCCCAAATCCCCCCAAATCCCCCCAAAATCCCCCCAAATTCTCCCCAAATCCCCCCAAATTCCCCCAAAAATCCCTTAAAACCCTAAAATCCCCAAAATCCCCCAAATCCCCCCAAAATCCCCCAAATCCCTCCAAAATCCCCCCAAAATCCCCCCAAATCCCCCCAAAAATCCCCCTAAAATCCCCCCCAAACCCCCCAAAATCCCCCCAAATCCCCCAAAATCCCCCAAATCCCCCCCAAATCACCCCAAATCCCCCCAAATCCCCCCAAATCACCCCAAATCCCCCCAAAATCCCCCCAAATCCCCCCAAAATCCCCCAAATCCCCCTAAAATCCCCCAAATTCCCCCCAAATCCCCCCAAAATCTCCCCAAAACCCCTGAAAATCCCTTTAAAATCCCAAAATCCCCCCAAATCCCCCTAAAATCCCCCCAAAATCCCCTCACCGCCGCCAGCCGCCGCTCCAGCTCCAGCCCCGCCACGGCGAAGACGTTGGCCCCTGACAGGGAACAGCCAAAATTGGGGATTTTCGGGAATTTTGGTGGTTTTTGGGGAGATTTTTGGGGGACTTTTGGGGGGATTTTGCAGTTTTTTGGGGGAATTTTGGGGTTGTTGGGGAGGATTTGGGGGGATTTTGGGGGTTTTTTTGGGAGGGGATTTTTTGGGGGGGATTTTGGGGATTTTTGGGGGCATTTTGGGTTTTTTTGTGGGGATTTCGGGAGGATTTTGTGGTTTTTGGGAATTTTTTAGGGGATTTTGGGAATTTTTGGGGGGAATTTTGGGGTTTTTTTCCAGGCGATTTGGGGCTGATTTTGGGGTTTTTTTGGGGGGATTTTTGGGGGGTTTTGGGAGTGATTTTGGGTGTTTTTGAGGAGATTCTGGGGGGATTTGGGGAATTTTTGGAAGGATTTGGGGGTTTTTGTAAGGATTTTGGGGGGATTTTGTGGGGATTTTGAGTTTTTTTGGGGGGAATTTTGGGTTTTTTTCCCAGGGGATTTGGGGATGATTTTGGGGTTTTTTGAGGAGATTTTGGAGGGATTTGGGAAATTTTTGGGAGGATTTGGGGGTTTTTGTGGGGATTTGGGAATTTTTGGGGGGATTCTGGGCTTTTTTGGGGTGAATTTTGGGTTTTTTTTCCAGGGGATTTGGGGGTGATGTTGGGGTTTTTGGGGGGATTTGGGGGGGGTTTTGGGAGGATTTGGGGGTTTTTGAGGAGATTTTGGGGGGGATTTGGCGGTTTTTTTGTGGGGATTTTGTGGTGATTTTGGGTTTTTTTGCAGGGATTTTGGGTATTTTTGGGGGGATTTTGGGGTTTTTTTTCCAGGCGATTTGGGGGTGATGATGGGGTTTTTTGGGGGGATTTTGGGGGGATTTGGGTTTTTTTGGGGGGCATTTTGGGTATTTTGGGGGGGATTTTGGGGTTTTTTCCCAAGCGATTTGGGGGTGATTTTGGGGTTTTTTGAAGAGATTTTGGGGGGATTTTGGGAATTTTTGGGAGAATCAGGGTTTTTTTTGGAAGGATTTCGGGGGGATTTTGGGGTGATTTTGGGGTTTTTGGGGGGGAATTTGGGGGGATTTTTGGGGAATTTTGGGAGTGATTTGGGGGTTTTTTGAGGAGATTTTGGGGGGATTTGGGGAATTTTTGGGAGGATTTGGGGTTTTTTGTGGGGATTTTGGGGGGATTTGGGTTTTTTTGGGTGGATTTTGGGTATTTTTGGGGGGATTTTGGGGTTTTTTTCCAAGCGATTTTGGGGTGATTTTGGGGAGATTTTTGGGGGGTTTTGGGGGGATGTGGGGTTTTTTGGGAGGAATTTCGGGGTTTTTTGGTGGGATTTGGGGGATTTTTGGCGGGTTTTTTGGGGGGATTTTGGGGGGATTTTTGGGTTTTTTTGGGGGTTTTTGTGGGGGGATTTGGGGGATTTCTGGCGGGTTTTTTGGGGGGATTTTTGGGGGTTTTTTTGAGAATTTTGGGGATTTTTTGGTGGGTACTTTTGGGGGTGTTTTTGGGGGGATTTTGGGTTTTTTTGGGGGAATTTTGGGGATTTTTTTGGGGGTATTTTTGGGGGTGTTTTTGGGGCTATTTTGCGTGTTTTTGGGGTTGGGGGCGCACCGATGACCAGGCAGGGGCTGGGCCAGCTGTAGGGGTCCTTGAGGAACAGCGAGACCACCTGGATGGGATCCACCAGGATGCCGTACCTGCGGGGCACCCCAAAAACAGCCAAAATTACCCTGGGATACCCCAAAAATGTCCCCAAAAACAGCCCCGGGACAGCCCCAAAATCACCCCAAAACAGCCGCAAAATCACCCCAAAAACACCCCCGGGACAGCCCCAAAATCACCCCAAAAAAACTCTGAGATATCCCCAAAAATAACCCCAAGACAGCCCCAAAATCACCCCAAAAACAGCCCCGGGACAGCCCCAAAATCAGCCCCAAATTACTCCGGGATACCCCAAAAATGTCCCCCAAAAACACCTCCGGGACAGCCCCAAAATCAGCCCAAAACCAGCCACCAAATCACCCCAAAATCACCCCAAAACAGCCCCAAATTACCCTGGGACACCCCAAAAATGTCCCCAAAAACAGCCCCGGGACAGCCCCAAAATCAGCCCCAAATTACTCTGGGATACCCCAAAAATGTCCCCAAAAACAGCCCCAGGACAGCCCCAAAATCAGCCCAAAACCAGCCACCAAATCACCCCAAAATCACCCCAAAAATAACCCCAAAACCAGCCCCAGGACAGCCCCAAAATCACCCCAAAACCAGCCCCAAAACAGCCCAAAAACAGCCCCAAAATCACCCCAAAACAGCCGCAAAATCACCCCAAAAACAGCCCCAGGACGGCCCCAAAATCACCCCAAAATCACCCCCAGGACAGCCCCAAAAACAGCCCCGAGACAGCCCCAAAATCACCCCAAAAACAGCCCCAAAATCACCCCAAAATCACCCCCAGGACAGCCCCAAAAACAGCCCCGAGACAGCCCCAAAATCACCCCAAAAACAGCCCCAAAATCACCCCCAAAACAGCCCCAAAATCACCCCAAAAACAGCCCCAAACAGCCCCAAAAATAACCCCAAAAATAGCCCCAAAATCACCCCAAAACAGCCCCAAAATCACCCCAAATCTTGTCCTGGGGACAGTGCCACCCCAGTGCCACCCCAGTGCCACCCCAGTGCCACCCGTCCCTGTCCCTGTCCCCGTCCCTGTCCCCCCTCACTTGATGAGGTTCTCCAGGAAGAGCCGCGCATTGCACAGAACCTGCGGGGACATTGGGGACATTGGGGGGATTGGGGACATTGGGGGGATTGGGGGACATTGGGGGACATTGGGGACATTGGGGACATTGGGGGATTGGGGACATTGGGGGGATTGGGGGACATTGGGGGACATTGGGGACATTGGGGACATTGGGGACATTGGGGATATTGGGGGGACATTGGGGACATTGGGGACATTGGGGGGACATTGGGGACATTGGGGACATTGGGGGGATTGGGGACATTGGGGACATTGGGGACATTGGGGACATTGGGGGGATTGGGGACATTGGGGGGATTGGGGGACATTGGGGGACATTGGGGACATTGGGGACATTGGGGACATTGGGGACATTGGGGGGATTGGGGACATTGGGGGGATTGGGGGACATTGGGGGACATTGGGGACATTGGGGACATTGGGGACATTGGGGGGACATTGGGGGTATTGGGGGGACACTGGGGACATTGGGGGGACATTGGGGACATTGGGGACATTGGGGGGACATTGGGGACATTGGGGACATTGGGGGGACATTGGGGACATTGGGGACATTGGGGACATTGGGGACATTGGGGACATTGGGGGGACATTGGGGGGACATTGGGGATATTGGGGACATTGGGGGGACATTGGGGATATTGGGGGGACATTGGGGGCATTGGGGACATTGGGGGGACATTGGGGACATTGGGGACATTGGGGGGACATTGGGGACATTGGGGACATTGGGGACATTGGGGACATTGGGGACATTGGGGGGACATTGGGGGGACATTGGGGACATTGGGGACATTGGGGACATTGGGGACATTGGGACATTGGGGACATTGGGGACATTGGGGACATTGGGGGGACATTGGGGGGACATTGGGGGACATTGGGGACATTGGGGACATTGGGGATATTGGGGACATTGGGGACATTGGGGACATTGGGGGACATTGGGGGACATTGGGGACATTGGGGACATTGGGGACATTGGGGACATTGGGGACATTGGGGGGACATTGGGGACATTGGGGGACATTGGGGGGACATTGGGGACATCAACGGGGACATTGGGGACATTGGGGACATCAATGGGGACATTGGGGACATTGGGGGGACATTGGGGACATTGGGGGGACACTGGGGACATTGGGGACATTGGGGACATTGGGGACATTGGGGGACATTGGGGACATTGGGGACATTGGGGGCATTGGGGGACATTGGGGACATCGGGGACATTGGGGACATTGGGGGCATTGGGGATATTGGGGGGACATTGGGGACACTGGGGACACTGGGGACATTGGGGACATTGGGGACATATCGTGACTCACCAGCATGACCACGCACCAGTTGAGCACCCCCCGGTAGTTGCTGAAACCGCTGGCCGAGCTCAGCAGAGACTCCTGCACCGTGTGGCACCTTGGGGACAGCAGGGACACGAGGGGACATCCTTGGGGACACTTGGGGACACCCTTGGGATACCAGGGGACACCTTGGGGACATCCTGGGGACACCAGGGGACACTTGGGCATACCTGGGGACACTTGGGGACACCCCTGGGACACCGCAGGGACACTTGGGGGGACACTGCAGGGACACCTTGGGGTCACCTTGTGGCACCTGGGGACACCCTGGGGACACTTGGGGACATTGCAGGGACATCTTGGGGACACCTTGGGGACACCCTTGGGACACCTTGGGGATACGAGGGGGCACCTTGGGGACACGAGGGGACACCCTGGGGACACCTTGGGGACACCGCAGGGACACCAGGGGACACTTGGGGACACCAGGGGACACTTGGGGACATGCAGGGACACCTTGTGGCACCTGGGGACACCCTGGGGACACTTGGGGACACCCTTGGGACACCTTGGGGATACGAGGGGGCACCTTGGGGACACGAGGGGACACCCTGGGGACACCTTGTGGCACCTGGGGACACCTTGGGGACACCCCCAAAGCCTCCCAGGGGTGAGGGGACACCCAGAGGGGACCCCAAAGCTTGGGGACACACCCGGGGGGTGACAGGGGTGACACAGGAGTGACACAGGTGACACAGGAGTGACACAGGTGACACCGGCAGGGCGGTGGCAGCGCCAGCTCCGGGTCCAGAGTCCCCCCCGATAAGATAGGGGTGATCAGGGGTAATTAACACTAATTAGGGGCTGATTAGGGGGGCAGGGGTGGCACTGGGGTGGCACCAGGGTGACCTCTGACCCCGGGGGTGGCACCAGGGTGACCTCTGACCCCGGGGGTGGCCCTGGGGGGGTTTGGGGTGGCCCTGGGGGGGTTTGGGGTGGCCCTGGGGGGGTTTGGGGTGGCCCTGAGCGGGTTTGGGGTGGCCCTGGGCGGGTTTGGGGTGGCCCTGAGCGGGTTTGGGGTGGCCCTGAGCAGGTTTGGGGTGGCCCTGAGCAGGTTTGGGGTGGCCCTGAGCAGGTTTGGGGTGGCCCTGAGCAGGTTTGGGGTGGCCCTGAGCAGGTTTGGGGTGGCCCTGAGCGGGTTTGGGGTGGCCCTGAGCAGGTTTGGGGTGGCCCTGAGCGGGTTTGGGGTGGCCCTGAGCGGGTTTGGGGTGGCCCTGGGGGGGTTTGGGGTGGCCCTGAGCAGGTTTGTGGTGGCCCTGGGGGAGTTTGGGGTGGCCCTGAGCAGGTTTGGGGTGGCCCTGAGCAGGTTTGGGGTGGCCCTGAGCGGGTTTGGGGTGGCCCTGAGCGGGTTTGGGGTGGCCCTGAGCAGGTTTGGGGTGGCCCTGAGCAGGTTTGGGGTGGCCCTGAGCAGGTTTGGGGTGGCCCTGGGGGGGTTTGGGGTGGCCCTGAGCAGGTTTGGGGTGGCCCTGAGCAGGTTTGGGGTGGCCCTGGGGGGTTTGGGGTGGCCCTGAGCAGGTTTGGGGTGGCCCTGAGCAGGTTTGGGGTGGCCCTGGGGGGGTTTGGGGTGGCCCTGAGCGGGTTTGGGGTGGCCCTGAGCAGGTTTGGGGTGGCCCTGGGGGGGTTTGGGGTGGCCCTGAGCAGGTTTGGCGTGGCCCTGAGCAGGTTTGGGGTGGCCCTGAGCAGGTTTGGGGTGGCCCTGGGGGGGTTTGGGGTGGCCCTGAGCGGGTTTGGGGTGGCCCTGAGCAGGTTTGGGGTGGCCCTGAGCAGGTTTGGGGTGGCCCTGAGCAGGTTTGGGGTGGCCCTGGGGGGGTTTGGGGTGGCCCTGAGCGGGTTTGGGGTGGCCCTGAGCAGGTTTGGGGTGGCCCTGAGCAGGTTTGGGGTGGCCCTGAGCAGGTTTGGGGTGGCCCTGAGCAGGTTTGGGGTGGCCCTGAGCAGGTTTGGGGTGGCCCTGGGGGGATTTGGGGTGGCCCTGAGCAGGTTTGGGGTGGCCCTGAGCAGGTTTGGGGTGGCCCTGGGGGGGTTTGGGGTGGCCCTGAGCAGGTTTGGGGTGGCCCTGAGCAGGTTTGGGGTGGCCCTGAGCGGGTTTGGGGTGGCCCTGAGCAGGTTTGGGGTGGCCCTGAGCAGGTTTGGGGTGGCCCTGGGGGGGTTTGGGGTGGCCCTGAGCAGGTTTGGGGTGGCCCTGGGGGGGTTTGGGGTGGCCCTGAGCGGGTTTGGGGTGGCCCTGAGCGGGTTTGGGGTGGCCCTGAGCAGGTTTGGGGTGGCCCTGAGCAGGTTTGGGGTGGCCCTGAGCGGGTTTGGGGTGGCCCTGAGCGGGTTTGGGGTGGCCCTGAGCGGGTTTGGGGTGGCCCTGGGGGGGTTTGGGGTGGCCCTGAGCAGGTTTGGGGTGGCCCTGGGGGGGTTTGGGGTGGCCCTGAGCGGGTTTGGGGTGGCCCTGAGCAGGTTTGGGGTGGCCCTGAGCAGGTTTGGGGTGGCCCTGAGCAGGTTTGGGGTGGCCCTGGGGGGGTTTGGGGTGGCCCTGAGCAGGTTTGGGGTGGCCCTGAGCAGGTTTGGGGTGGCCCTGGGGGGTTTGGGGTGGCCCTGAGCAGGTTTGTGGTGGCCCTGGGGGGGTTTGGGGTGGCCCTGAGCGGGTTTGGGGTGGCCCTGAGCAGGTTTGGGGTGGCCCTGAGCAGGTTTGGGGTGGCCCTGGGGGGGTTTGGGGTGGCCCTGAGCGGGTTTGGGGTGGCCCTGAGCAGGTTTGGGGTGGCCCTGGGGGGGTTTGGGGTGGCCCTGAGCGGGTTTGGGGTGGCCCTGAGCAGGTTTGGGGTGGCCCTGAGCAGGTTTGGGGTGGCCCTGAGCGGGTTTGGGGTGGCCCTGGGGGGGTTTGGGGTGGCCCTGAGCAGGTTTGGGGTGGCCCTGAGCGGGTTTGGGGTGGCCCTGGGGGGGTTTGGGGTGGCCCTGGGGGGGTTTGGGGTGGCCATGGGGGGACACGGGGAGGGACACAAGGGTGGCACAGGGGGACACGGGGGTGGTGGCACCGAGGGGACACGGAGGGGACACAGGGTGGGTGGCAGGGCAGGGACACAGGGGGGACACTGTGGGGACACGGGGGTGGCACAGGGGTGGCACGGAGGGGACACTGGGGTGGTGGCACGGAGGGGACACGAGGATGGCACAAGGGGACACCAGGGTGGTGGCAGGACAGGGACATGATGGAGACGGGGGGGGGCACAGGGGGACACGGGGGTGGTGGCAGGGCAGGGACACAGGGATGGTGGCACCAAGGGGACACGGGGGTGGCACAGGGGGACACGGGGATGGTGGCACCGAGGGGACACAGGGTGGGTTGCAGGGCAGGGCCAGGGGGATGGTGGCACAGGGGGACACGATGGGGACACCGTGGGGTGGCACAGAGGGACACGGGGGTGGTGGCACTGAGGGGACACGGGGAGGGACACAAGGGTGGCACGGAAGGGACACGGGGGTGGTGGCACCGAGGGGACACGGAGGGGACACAGGGGGGGTGGCAGGGCAGGGACGTAGGGGGGACACTGTGGGGACACGGGGGTGGCACAGGGGTGGCACAGAGGGGACACAGGGGTGGTGGCACGGAGGGGACACGAGAATGGCACAAGGGGACACCAGGGTGGTGGCAGGACAAGGACATGATGGAGACAGGGGGGTGGCACAGGGGGACACGGGGGTGGTGGCAGGGCAGGGACATGGTAGTGGCACCAAGGGACACAGGGGTGGCACAGAGGTGGTGGCACAGAGGGGACATAGCGGGGACACGGGGATGGCACAGGGGACACAGGGGTCGTGGCACCGAGGGGACACTGGGGTGGCACAGAGGTGGTGGCATGGAGGGGACATACAGGGGACATGGGGGTGGCACAGGGGGGCATGGAGGGGACACAGGGGGGACACAGGGATGGCACAGAGGGGACACAGAGGTGGTGGCACCGAGGGGACACGGGGGTGGCACAGGGGGACATGGGGATAGTGGCAGGGCAGGGACATGGAGGTGGTGGCACTGAGGGGACACAGGGGGACACTGTGGGGATACGGGGGTGGCACAGAGGTGACACGGAGGTGACACAGGGGTGGTGGCACGGAGGGGACACGAGAATGGCACAAGGGGACACCAGGGTGGTGGCAGGACAGGGACATGATGGAGACAGGGGGGTGGCACAGGGGGACACGGGGGTGGTGGCAGGGCAGGGACATGGTAGTGGCACCAAGGGACACAGGGGTGGCACAGAGGTGGTGGCACAGAGGGGACATAGCGGGGACACGGGGATGGCACAGGGGACACAGCGGTCGTGGCACCGAGGGGACACTGGGGTGGCACAGAGGGGTGGCATGGAGGGGACATGTGGGGGACATGGGGGTGGCACAGGGGGACACGGAGGTGACAGGGAGGTGACACGGGGCAGTGGCCAGGGCAGGGACACGGGGATGGTGGCACTGAGGGGACACGGGGGTGGCACAGGGTGACAGGGAGGTGACAGGGGCGGTGGCAGGGCAGGGACAGGGGGATGATGGCACAGGGGGGACACGGGGGGTGACACGGGGGTGGCACAGGGGGACACGGGGGGTGACACGGGGGTGGCACAGGGGGACACGGGGGTGACACGGGGGGACACGGGGGGACACGATGGGGACACGGAGGGACACGATGGTGACACGGGGGGACACGATGGTGACACGGAGGTGGCACAGGGTGACAGGGAGGTGACAGGGGCGGTGTCAGGGCAGGACGCGGCCGCTCCCGGCGCGGGTGGCGGTGTCGCAAGCGGGGCAGGGTTGGGACATCGCCCCGGGGACACGGAGCGGGCACCGGGACAGGGGGCACCGGGACACGGGGACACCGGGACAGGGGGCACGGGGGGGACCCGGGGGGGACCCGGGGGACATCGCGGGGACACCGAGACCCCCGTGGGGGGGGGTCCTGGGGGTCCCGAGTGTCCCTGGGGGTCCCAATATGTGGGGAGGGGTCCCCGAGTGTCCCTGGGGGGGTCCCAACATGTGGGGAGGGGTCCCCGAGTGTCCCTGAGGGGGGGTCCCAACATGTGGGGAGGGGTCCCCAAGTGTCCCTATGGGGGTCCTGGGGGTGCCCAAGTGTCCCTGAGGGGGTCCCAACATGTGGGGAGGGGTCCCCGAGTGTCCCTATGGGGGTCCCAACATGTGGGGAGGGGTCCCCGAGTGTCCCTGGGGGGGTCCTGGGGGTCCCTGAGGGTCCCTGGGGGGGTCCCAACATGTGGGGAGGGGTCCCCGAGTGTCCCTGGGAGGGTCCTGGGGGGTCCCAACATGTGGGGAGGGGTCCCCGAGTGTCACTGGGGGGTCCCCGAGTGTCCCTGGGGGGTCCCCGAGTGTCCCTGGGGGGGTCCCAACATGTGGGGAGGGGTCCCCGAGTGTCCCTATGGGGGTCCCAACATGTGGGGAGGGGTCCCCGAGTGTCCCTATGGGGGTCCCAACATGTGGGGAGGGGTCCCCGAGTGTCCCGGAGGGGGACCTGAGGGGGTCCCTGAGGGTCCCAAACCCACCTGAGGGGGTCCCTGAGGGTCCCAAAACCATCTGAGGGGGTCCCTGAGGGTCCCAAACCCTCCTGAGAGGGTCCCAAACCCACCTGAGGGGGTCCCTGAGGGTCCCAAACCCACCTGAGGGTCCCAAACCCTCCTGAGGGGGTCCCAAACCCTCCTGAGGGGGTCCCAAACCCACCTGAGGGGGTCCCAAACCCACCTGAGGGGATCCCTGAGGGTCCCAAACCCTCCTGAGGGGGTCCCAAACCCTCTTGAGGGGGTCCCAAACCCACCTGAGAGGGTCCCAAACCCACCTGAGGGGGTCCCTGAGGGTCCCAAACCCACCTGAGGGGGTCCCTGAGGGGTCCCAAACCCACCTGAGGGGATCCCAAACCCACCTGAGGGGATCCCAAACCCACCTGAGGGGGTCCCTGAGGGTCCCAAACCCACCTGAGGGGATCCCAAACCCACCTGAGGGGGTCCCTGAGGGTCCCAAACCCTCCTGAGGGGGTCCCAAACCCACCTGAGGGGGTCCCAAACCCACCTGAGGGGGTCCCAAACCCACCTGAGGGGGCCCCAAACCCACCTGAGGGGGTCCCAAACCCACCTGAGGGGTCCCAAACCCACCTGAGGGGGTCCCTGAGGGTCCCAAACCCTCCTGAGGGGGTCCCAAACCCTCCTGAGGGGGTCCCAAACCCACCTGAGGGGATCCCTGAGGGTCCCAAACCCACTTGAGGGGGTCCCAAACCCACCTGAGGGGATCCCAAACCCTCCTGAGGGGACCCCAAACCCACCTGAGGGGGTCCCAAACCCACCTGAGGGGGTCCCAAACCCTCCTGAGGGGATCCCAAACCCTCCTGAGGGGGTCCCAAACCCACCTGAGGGGGTCCCAAACCCTCCTGAGGGGATCCCAAACCCTCCTGAGGGGGACCCTGAGGGTCCCAAACCCTCCTGAGGGGGTTCCAAACCCTCCTGAGGGGGTCCCAAACCCTCCTGAGGGGATCCCTGGGGGTCCCAAACCCACCTGAGGGGGTCCCAAACCCTCCTGAGGGGATCCCTGGGGGTCCCAAACCCTCCTGAGGGGTCCCAGCCCCACCTGAGGGGATCCCAAACCCACCTGAGGGGGTCCCTGAGGGTCCCAAACCCTCCTGAGGGGGTCCCAAACCCACCTGAGGGGGTCCCAAACCCTCCTGAGGGGGTCCCAAACCCACCTGAGGGGGTCCCTGAGGGTCCCAAACCCACCTGAGGGGGTCCCTGAGTGTCCCAAACCCTCCTGAGGGGGTCCCAAACCCACCTGAGGGGGTCCCTGAGGGGTCCCAGACCCACTTGAGGGGGTCCCAAACCCACCTGAGGGGGTCCCAAACCCACCTGAGGGGGTCCCTGAGGGTCCCAAACCCACCTGAGGGGGTCCCAAACCCACCTGAGGGGGTCCCTGAGGGTCCCAAACCCACCTGAGGGGGTCCCAAACCCACCTGAGGGGGTCCCTGAGGGCCCCAAAATCTCCTGAGGGGGTTCCCGCCCACCCCGATCCCGCCTCTCCCTCAGGGCTCCCCCCCCGGCCCGCGGGGCGGCCCCGCTTTGCCGGGCCCCGTTACCTGAAGTCCCCGGCGGGCTCCTCGGCGCTGTCGCCATGTCCGGAGGGGTGTTCGGGTTTCGGGGGTCCCCCCCGCCGCCGGCGGCTCCCCCCGTTACCCCGGGCGGGGCTCGGGGCTCGGTGGCCGCCGCCGCCCCCGGCCGGGCCCGCGGCCCCCGCGCTGCCGCCGCGCTCGCCCATCTGAGGCCGGCCCGCCCGCGCCCCGCCCTTTGAAACCTCGCACCGCCCCGCCCCCGCCCCTGCGCCAATGGCCGCGCGGGATCCGCGGGATGGGCGGGGACAGCGGCCAATGGGAGGGGAGGGCGGGGAAAGTGGGAGCCAATGGGGAAGGGAGGCGGGGTTTGATGAGTGGCCAATGGGAGGGCGGGGAAGGGAAAGGGGCGGGGCGAGGGAATGGAGGATTGGGGAATTTTGGGGATTTTGGGGAATTTTGGGGAATTTGGGGAAATTTGGGGAATTTTTGGGATTTTGGGGAATTTGGGGGAAATTTGGGGGGGTTTGGAGAATTTTGGGGAAATTTGGGGGGATTTGAGAGATTTGGGGGGAAATTTGGGGGAATTTGGGAGGATTTTGTGGGGAAATTGGGGAATTTTGGGGGAATTTGGGGGAATTTGGGGAAAATTTTTGGGGAGATTTGGGGGGAAATTTGAGGAAAAATTTTGGGGAAATTTGAGGAAAAATATTGGGGCATTGGAGAATTTTGGAGAATTTTGGGGGATTTTGGGGAGATTTGAGAATTTGGGGGAAAATTGGGGAATTTTAGGGGGATTTGGGGAAAATTTGGGGAGGATTTTGAAGGTATTTGGGAGAAATTTTGGGGAATTTTGGGGGAATTTGGGAGAAATTTTGGGAAATTTGGGGGGAAATTGGAGGAAATTTAAGAGGAAATTTTGGGGGATTTCTGGGGATTTTGGGAATTTGGGGAAAATTTTGAAGGATTTTGGGGGATTTTTGGGGGCTTTTGGGGCAGTTTTGGGGTTTTTTTTGGTGGAATTTTTGGGGAATTTTGGGGAGATTTTTTGGGGTTCCTTCTGGAGTTTTTTGGGGCTGTTTTTTTGGGGTTTTTTTGGGGAGTTTTTTTGGAGGTTTTGTGACAGATTTTTGGGGTTTTTTTGGGGAGTTATTGGGGGATCTTTGGGGGGTTTGGGGGCAGATTTTTGGGATTTTTTTTGGGAATTTTTTGGGAATTTTGGGCAGATTTATTGGGAATTTTTTGAAGAATTTTGGGGCAGATTTTTGTGGTTTTTGGGGGGATATTTGTGGATTTTGGGGGCAGTTTGGGGGGGTTTTGGCGGTTTTTAAAGTTTTTTTTGGGGGGGTTGGGGGCAGATTTTTGGGGTTTTTTTGGGGAGATTTTTGGGCGGTTTTGGGGCAGTTTTTTGGGTTTTTTTGGGGTTTTCTTGGGAGTTTTTTGGGGGGGTTTTGGGGCAGTTTTTTTGGGTTTTTTGGGTTTTTTTTTCGGGAGTTTCTTGGGGGGGGTTGGGGCAGTTTTTTGGTTTTTTTTGGTGTTTTCCTTTTGGGAGTATTTTTGGGGGTTTTGGACCAGTTTTTTGGGGTTTTTTGGGGGTGTTTTTTTGGGAGTTTTTTTGGGGGGGTTGGGGGCAGATTTTTGGGGTTTTTTGGGGGGGAATTTTTGGTGAATTTTGGGGCAGATTTTTGGGGATTTTTTCGGGAATTTTGGGGCAAATTTTGGGAGATTTTTGGGAGATTTTTGGGGGATTTTGGGCAGATTTTTTGGGGTTTTTTTGGGAGTTTTTTGGGGGGTTTTGGGGCAGTTTTTTTGGGTTTTCTTGGGGGTTTTTTTGGAATTTTTGGTGAATTTTGGGGCAGATTTTTGGGGATTTTTTGGGGAATTTTGGGGCAGATTTTTTGGGGTTTTTGGGACATTTTTTTGGGGGTTTTTTGGGGATTTTTGGGGTGCCCCGGGCCCCCCCTCCTCCCCAGCCCATCCGCTCCGTGCCTGCGACGCGCCTTTATTGGGTGCTGGGGCTGCTCATTTGCATGTGATTTGCATAGCATTTGCATGGGATTTACATGTCATTTGCATGGGATTTGCATATGATTTACATGTAATTTGCATAAACCCTCCCACCTCTCGCGGGGGGGGGAATGTGGGGTCCTGCCCTGCCCCTCCCCCACCCTGAGGATTTTCCCACGGTCCGGGGGGGGCCTGGGGGGAGGGGCGGGGGGGGGGGTCCCGTGACCTCTGAGTGACCTCTGAGTGACCCCTCAGTGACCTCTCAGTGACCTCTCAGTGACCTCATGACCCCTGGGTGACCCCCTGTGACTCTACGACCCCTGGGTGACCCTGTGCCCCCGTGTGACCCCCCTGTGAGCCCCAGATGACCTCATGACCCCTGTGTGACCCCGTGACTCTGGGTGACCCCCCTGTGAGCCCCAGATGACCTCGTGACCCCTGTGTGGCCCCGTGACTCTGGGTGACCCCCCTGTGAGCCCCAGATGACCTCGTGACCCCTGTGTGACTCCATGACACCGGTGTGATCGCTGTGTGACCCTGTGACCCCAGCTGACCCCAGTGTGACCCCAAGACCCCCATATGACCCCGTGACCGTGGTGTGACCCTGAGTCCCTGGTGTGACTCCGTGACCCCAGTGTGACCCTGTGACCCTGTGTGACCCTGTGACCCCTCAGTGCCCCCTGAAACCCGTGCGACCCTGTGCCCCCAGCTGACCCCTGACCCCAGCTGACCCCTGATCCTGGATGACCCCATGACCCCGGATGACCCCATGACCTCGGTGTGACCCCATGACCCTGGCTGACCCCATGACCCTGTGTGACCCCATGCCCCCAGCTTACCCCATGACCCCGGATGACCCCTGACCCCAGCTGACCCCGTGCCCCCATGCGATGCCATGCCCCTGGATGACATCTGACCCCGACTGACCCCTGACCCCAGTGTGACCCCGTGACCCCATGTGACCCCGTGCCCCTGTGAGACCCCGAGCCCCCATGCGACCCTGTGACCCCATATGACCCCATGACACGGGTTATCCCATGACTCCAGATGACCCCGGTGTGACCCCAGGTGACCCCGTGCGACCCTGTGACACCGTATGACCCTGTGTCCCTGTGAGACCCTCTGCCCCCATGCGACCCTGTGTCCTCGGGTGGCCCCATGACCCCGGGTGACCCTGTGACACTGGGTTACCCCGTGACCTCAGCTGACCCCGGTCTGACCCCGAGACCCCCATGTGAACCCGTGACTCTGGTGTGACCCTGTGAGCCCGGCTGACCCCTGTGTGACCCTGAGACCCCGTTGTGACCCCATGACCCCGGGTGACCCCTGACCCCGGCTGACCCCCTGACCTCGGCTGACCCCTGACCCCGTGCCCCTGTGAGACCCCGTGACCCTGGATGATCCTGTGCCCCGGTGTGACCCCATGACCCCAGCTGACCCCATGCCCCTGGATGACCCCCCTGACCCTGTCTGACCTCATGTCCCCGGCTGACCCCTGACCCCGGGTGACCCTGTGCCCCCAACTGACCCCTGACCCTGGCTGACCCCATGACCCCGGTGTCACCCCGTGATCCCTTGTCACCCCATGACCCTGGATGATCCCCTGACCCCAGGTGACCTCCTGACCCCGGCTGACCCCATGACCCTCGGTGACCCGTAACTTCAGCTGACCCTGGTGTGACCCTGTGACCCCATGTGACCCTGTGCCCCCGACTGACCCTTGACCCTGGTGTGACCCTGTGACCCCATGTGACCCTGTGCCCCCGACTGACCCCTGACCCTGGTGTGACCCCATGACCCCTGACCCCTGTGTGACCCCATGACCCCATGACCCCGGTGTGACCCCGTGACCCCAGTGTGACACTGTGACCTCTCAGTACCCCCTGACCCCTGGGTGACCCCTAGACCCTTGGCTGACCCCTGACCCCGGCTGACCCCATGCCCCTGTGAGACCCTGTGCCCCCAGCTGACCCCTGACCCCGGTGTGACCCCGTGCCCCTGGGTGACCCCGTGACCCCGTGTGACCCTGTGCCCCCGGCTTACCCCATGACCCCGGATGACCCCTGACCCCAGCTGACCCCGTGCCCCCATATGACCCCGTGCCCTTATGCGACCCCATGACCTGGGTTACCCCATGCCCCCATGTGACCCCATGACCCCATGACCTCGGTGTGACCCCATGACCCGGTGTTATCCCGTGACCCCCTGACCCCGGTGTGACCCCGGTGTGACCCCGTGTGCCCCAGCCGCGCTCAGGGCAGGCAGCGGAAGGTGAGCAGGGGCGCGCGCTGCGGCATCAGAATGAAGCGGAACACGGTGCCGGGATCCTCCGCGCTGGCGGCCTCCACCGAGAAATTACCCAAAACCTGGATTTGGGGACAATTCCGGGGAGTTTGGGGAAATCTGGGGAATTTGGGGGGAAATTTGGTCAAATTCAGGGGGTTTTGGTCAAACCAGGTGGGATTGGGTCAAATTTAGGGGCTTGGGTCAATCCCAGGGGGGTTGGGTCATATCTGGGGGGTTTTGGGTCAAATCCGGGATTTGGTTAAATTTGGGGGGTTTGGGTGAAATTCCGGGGGTTTGGTCAAATCTGGGGAATTTGGGGTCAAATTCGGGGTTTTGGGTCAAATCAAGGAGATTTTGGTCAAATCAAGAAGGTTTTGGGTCAAGACAAGGTTTGGGTCAAACCAAGGCGATTTTGGGTCAAATCAAGGAGGTTTTGGGTCAAGCCAAGGTTTGGGGTCAAGCTAATGAGGATTTTTGTCAAACCAAGGAGGTTTTGGGTCAGTCCAAGACTTTGACTCTCCCAACCCCTCGTTGGGTCAAACCAAAAAGGTTTTGGGTCAAGACAAGGAGGTTTCGGGTCAAACCAAGAAGGTTTTGGGTCAATCCAAGGAGATTTTGGGTCAAACCAAGGCAGTTTTTGGTCAAATCAAGAAGGTTTTGGGTCAAGACAAGGTTTGGGGTCAATCTAATGAGGATTTTTGTCAAACCAAGGTGATTTGGGGTCAAACCAAGGAAATTTTGGGTCAAACCAAGGAAATTTTGGGTCAATCCAAGGCTTTGGCTCACGCAACCCCTCGTTGGGTCAAACCAGGGTGGTTTTGGGTCAAACCGAGGAGTTTTTGGGTCAAGACAAGGCGATTTTGGGTCAATCCAAGAAGGTTTTGGGCCAAATCTTGGCGGTTTTGGGTCAAGCCAAGGTGGTTTTGGGTCAAGTCAAGGAGATTTTGGGTCAATCCAAGACTTTGACTCACCCAACCCCTCGTTGGGTCAAACCAAGGAGGTTTTGGGTCAAACCAAAAAGGTTTTGGGTCAAACCAAGGAGATTTTGGCTCAATCCAAGACTTTGACTCTCCCAACCCCTCATTGGCTCAAACCAACCCCTCCTTGATCCCCCCGGAGTCATTGACTCAATCCAAGACCTCTCTGACCCATCCCACCCCACCCGTGGGGTCCCGCCCACCCCCACACCAGTCCCGGGGGGCGTTTTGGGGTCCCCCACTCACGTGGGCGAGGAAGAGCATCATCTCGGCCTCGGCCAGGCGCCGGCCGATGCACTGGCGCGCGCCGAAGCCGAAGGCCAAGGCCTTGAAGGTGGTGTCGTCCTTGCCCAGCCAGCGCCACGGGTCGTAGCGCTCGGGCTGCGGGAACACGTCGGGGCAGCGCCCCATGGCGTAGAGCGCCACCTGGCACAGCGTCTGCGGGGGGCAACCGTCAGCCACGGGGCAAACGGGGGCACCGGGGGGCACCGGGGGACACCGGGGGCACCGGGAGGCACCGGGGGGCACCGGGGGGCACCGGGAGGCACCGGGGGGCACCGGGAGGCACCGGGGGGCACCGGGGGGCACCGGGGGGCACCGGGAGGCACCGGGAGACACCGGGAGTCACCAGGCCAAGCAAAGACTTTGGGTCAGTCCAAGACTTTGGGTCAAGCCAAGACTTTGGCCCAAGTCAAGATTTTGGGTCAATCCAAGATCTCATTGGCCAAGCCAAGACTTTGGGCCAAGCCAAGACCTCGTTGGGTCAATGCAAGACTTCGGGTCAAGGCAAGACCTCATTGGGTCAATCCAAGACTTTGGGTCAAGCCAAGACCTCACCGGGCCAAGCCAAGGCATGGTTGGGCCAAGCCAAGGTTTTGGGTCAATCCAAGATTTTGGGTCGAGTCAAGATCTCACTGGGCCAAGCCAAGATTTTGGGTCGAGTCAAGATTTTGGGTCAAGCCAAGACATAATTGGGCCAAATCAAGACTTAATTGGGTCAATCCAAGGCATGGTTGAGTCAAGCCAAGAATTTGGATCAAGCCAAGACTCGTTGGGTCAACCCAACCCCTCATTGGCCAAGCCAAGACTTTGGGCCAAGCCAAGATTTTGGGTCAAGTCAAGATTTTGGGTCAAGCCAAGGTTTGGGGTCAATCCAAGACGTCGTTGGGTCAATCCAAGACTTTGGGCCAAGCCAAGACTTTGGATTCAACCAAAATCTTGTTGGGCCAAGGCAAGACTTTGGGTGAAGCCAACACCCAAACCAAGACATGGTTGAGTCAATCCAAGACTTTGGGTCAATCCAAGACTTTGGATCAATCCAAGACCTTGAGCCAAGCCAAGACTTTGGGTCAAGCCAAGACTTTGGATCAATCCAAGACCTTGAGCCAAGCCAAGACTTTGGGTCAAGCCAAGACCTCGTTGGGTCAATCCAAGACTTTGGACCAAGCCAAGACTTTGGGTCAAGCCAAGATCTCATTGGCCAAGCCAAGACCTTGTTGGGTCAATGCAAGACTTTGGGTCAAGGCAAGACCTCAATGAGTCAAGCCAAGACTTTGGGTCAATCCAAGACTTTGGGTCAAGCCAAGACCTTGTTAGGTCAAGCCAAGACTTTGAATCAAGCCAAGACTCGTTGGGTCAACCCAACACCTCACTGGGCCAAGCCAAGACTTTGGGTCAAGCCAAGACCTTGTTGGGCCAAATCAAGACTTAATTGGGTCAAACCAAGGCTTGGTTGAGTCAAGCCAAGACTTTGGGTCAAGCCAAGACTTTGGGCCAAGCCAGGACCTCATTGGGTCGAACCAAGAACTTGGGTCAGTCCAAGACCTCGTTGGGTCAAGCCAAGACTTTGGGTCAATGCAAGACTTTGGATCAAGCCAAGACTCGTTGGGCCAAGCCAGGACCTCATTGGGCCAAGCCAAGACCTTGTTGGGCCAAATCAAGACTTAATTGGATCAAACCAAGGCATGGTTGGGCCAATCCAAGACTTTGGGCCAAGCCAAGACCTCATTGGGTCGAACCAAGAACTTGGGTCAATCCAAGACTTTGGGCCAAGGCAAGACTTTGGGTCAAACCAAGACCTCATTGTGTCAAACCAAGAACTTGAGTCAATCCAAGATCTCATTGGGCCAAGACAAGACTTTGGGGTCAATCCAAGACTTTGGGTCAATCCAAGATCTCACTGGGCCAAGCCAAGAATTTGGGTCAAACCAAGGCATGGTTGGGCCAAGCCAAGACTTTGAGTTCAGCCAAGACCTTGTTGGGTCAATCCAAGACTTTGGGTCAAGCCAAGACCTCATTGGCCAAGCCAAGATTTTGGGCCAAGCCAGGACATCATTGGGTTGAACCAAGAACTTGGGTCAAGGCAAGACCTCGTTGGGCCAATCCAAGACTTTGGGTCAATCCAAGACTTAATTGGGCCAAATCAAGACTTAATTGGGTCAAACCAAGGCCTGGTTGAGTCAAGCCAAGATTTTGGGTTCAGCCAAGACCTCGTTGGTCCAAGTCAAGACTTTGGGCCAAGTCAAGACCTCGTTGGGTCAATCCAAGTCTTTGGGTCACCCCATGACCCCCCATGACCCCCATGCCCCCCGTGACCCCCCATGACCCCCATGACCCCCCATGACCCCCCATGCCCCCCATGACCCCCCATGACCCCCCATGACCCCCATGACCCCCATCACCCCCATGACCCCCCATGACCCCAATGACCCCCATGCCCCCCATGACCCCCATGACCCCCCATGTCCCCCATGACCCCCATGACCCCCATGAACCCCCCGTGACCCCCCGTGACCCCCCATGACCCCCCATGACCCCCATGACCCCCATGACCTCCATGACCCCCTTGACCCCCCATGACCCCCATGACCCCCATGACCTCCATGACCCCCTTGACCCCCCATGACCCCCATGACCCCCATGACCTCCATGACCCCCTTGACCCCCATGATCCCCCATGACCCCTCATGACCCCCATGACCCCCATGACCCCCCGTGACCCCCATGCCCCCCATGCCCCCCCCCATGACCCCCATGACCCCCCATGACCCCCATGATCCCCCATGACCCCTCATGACCCCCATGACCCCCATGACCCCCCGTGACCCCCATGCCCCCCATGCCCCCCCCATGACCCCCATGACCCCCCATGACCCCCCCATGACCCCCATGACCCCCATGACCCCCATGACCTCTGTGACCCCCCCATGACCCCCCATGACCCCCCATGACCCCCCATGACCCCCCATGACCCCCATGACCCCCATGACCCCCGTGACCCCCCATGACCCCCCATGACCCCGTGACCCCCATGACCCCCATGACCCCCCATGACCCCCCCGTGACCCCGTGACCCTCCCGTGACCCCGTGACCCCGCGGTGACCCCTGGCTCACCCCCTTGGGCACGCGGTAGTTGTGCAGCACCACGTCGGTGGCCGGATAGCGCTGGACAGTGATTCCAACTGGGTACAGCCTGCGGGACCAGTACGGACCAGTATAAACCGGTATGGACCAGTATGGACCAGTATGGAACAGTATAAACCAGTATGGACCAGTATGGACCAGTATGGACCAGTATGGACCAGTATGGACCAGTATAAACCAGTATAAACCAGTATGGACCAGTATGGACCAGTATGGACCAGTATGGACCAGTATGGACCAGTATGGACCAGTATAAACCAGTATAAACCAGTATGGACCAGTATGGACCAGTATGGACCAGTATGGACCAGTATGGACCAGTATAAACCAGTATGGACCAGTATAAACCAGTATGGACCAGTATGGACCAGTATAAACCGGTACAAACCGGTATAGCACCAGTGTAGACCAGTATAGACCAGACCAGTATAAACCAGTATGGACCAGTATGGACCAGGTGATGCCAACCGGGTACAGCCTGTTATAAACCAGTATAAACCAGTATAAACCAGTATGGACCAGTATGGACCGGTATAGACCAGTATAAACCAGTATGGACCAGTATAAACCAGTATGGACCAGTATAAACCGGTATGGACCAGTATAAACCGGTATCGACCAGTATGGACCAGTATAAACCAGTATAAACCAGTATAAACGGTATAGACCAGTATAAACCAGTATAGACCAGTATGGCACCAGAATGGCACCGGTCCCCCCAGTCCCTCCCAGTCCCTCCCAGTCCATCCCAGTCCATCCCAGTCCATCCCAGTTTATCCCAGTCCATCCCAGTCCATCCCAGTCCCTCCCAGTCCATCCCAGTCCATCCCAGTTTATCCCAGTCCATCCCAGTTTATCCCAGTCCCTCCCAGTTTATCCCAGTTTATCCCAGTTTATCCCAGTCCATCCCAGTTTATCCCAGTCCATCCCAGTCCATCCCAGTTTATCCCAGTTTTTTATCCCAGTCCATCCCAGTCCATCCCAGTTTATCCCAGTTGTTTATCCCAGTCCATCCCAGTTTATCCCAGTCCATCCCAGTTTATCCCAGTCCATCCCAGTCCATCCCAGTCCATCCCAGTCCATCCCAGTCCATCCCAGTCCATCCCAGTTTATCCCAGTTTCCATTCCCAGTCCATCCCAGTCCATCCCAGTCCATCCCAGTCCATCCCAGTCCATCCCAGTTTATCCCAGTTTATCCCAGTTTATCCCAGTTCCCACCTCAGCGTCTCTTTGATCGCCGCTTTCAGCAGCGGCAGCGCCCCCAAGAGTTCGGGGAGGGGTCGCGGCCCCTCGGGGACCCTTTTGGGGACCCCCTCATTGGGGACCCCCTCGGGGACCCTTTTGGGGACCCCCGAATTGGGGACCCCCGAATTTGGGGCGTTTTTGGGGTCGTTTTTGGGGTCCCTTTTGGGGTCCCCCCCCGCCGCCCGCAGCTCCTCCCGCAGCGCCCGTTGGACCTCCGGGTTCCGCCCGAGCTCGAACAGCGTGAACAGCAGCGGGATCGCCGTCTGGGGGGGGGGCAAGGTGAGACCCCCCCCAAAATATCCACCGGGACCCCCCAAAATATCCCCCAAAAAACCCCGGGACCCCCCAAAAAAACCCCGGTCTGAAATCCCCCAAAATCCCCCCAAAATCCCCCCAAAACCCCTCCGGGTTCCGCCCGAGCTCGAACAGCGTGAACAGCAGCGGGATCGCCGTCTGGGGGGAGGGGGCGGTGAGACCCCCCCCAAAATATCCCCAAAATATCCCCCGGGACCCCCAAAATATCCCCCAAAAAAATCCCGGGACCCCCCGGCTCCAAAATCCCCCAAAATCCCCCAAAATCCCCCCAAAATCCCCCCAAAATCCCCCCAAAATCCCCCCCAGCGTGAACAGCAGCGGGATCGCCGTCTGGGGGGTGGGGGGCGGTGAGACCCCCCCCAAAATATCCCCCGGGACCCCCCAAAATCCCCCCCAAAAAAACCCAGTCTGAAATTCCCGATAAACGCCCCAAAATCCCCCAAAATCCCCCCAAAACCCCCCGGTTCCATCAGTGTGAACAGCAGCGGGATCGCCGTCTGGGGGGTGGGGGGCGGTGAGACCCCCCCCCCAAAATATCCCCAAAATATCCCCCCAAATCCCCCCGGGACACCCCAAAAAAACCCCGGTCTGAAATCCCCCAAAATCCCCGATAAACCCCCCAAAATCCCCCCAAAACCCCCCCAGCGTGAACAGCAGCGGGATCGCCGTCTGGGGGGTGGGGCGCGGTGAGACCCCCCCCAAAATATCCCCCGGGACCCCCAAAATCCACCCGGGACCCCCCAAAAAAATCCCGGTCTGAAATCCCCCAAAATCCCCCCAAAATCCCCCCAAACAGCCCCAAAATCCCCCCAAAATTCCCCCAGCTCGAACAGCGTGAACAGCAGCGGGATCGCCGTCTGGGGGGAGGGGCGCGGTGAGACCCCCCCCAAAATATCCCCCGGGACCCCCAAAATATCCCCCGGGACTCCCCGAAAAAATCCCGGCTCCAAAATCCCCGATAAACCCCCCAAAATCCCCCCCAAATCCCCCCAAAACCCCCCCAAAACATCCCCGGGACCCCCCAAAACAGCCCCGGGACCCCCCGAAACACCCCCGGGACATCCCCGGGACCCCCCGGCTCCAAAATCCCCCAAAATCTCCCCAAAATCCCCCCAAAACATCCCCGGGACCCCCAGCGTGAACAGCAGCGGGATCGCCGTCTGGGGGGTGGGGGGCGGTGAGACCCCCCCCAAAATATCCCCCAAATCCCCCCGGGACCCCCAAAAATCCCCCCAAAAAAACCCCGGGACCCCCCGGCTCCAAAATCCCCGAAAAACCCCCCAAAATCCCCCCAAAACCCTCCCGGTTCCATCAGCGTGAACAGCAGCGGGATCGCCGTCTGGGGGGTGGGGGGCGGTGAGACCCCCCCCAAAATATCCCCAAAATACCCCCGGGACCCCCCAAAATCCCCCCAAAAAAAACCCGGTCTGAAATCCCCCAAAATCCCCCCAAATCCCCCCAAAACCCCTCCGGGTTCCGCCCGAGCTCGAACAGGGTGAACAGCAGCGGGATCGCCGTCTGGGGGGTGGGCGCGGTGAGACCCCCCCCAAAATATCCCCAAAATATCCCCCGGGACCCCCAAAATATCCCCCAAAAAAACCCCAGGTCTGAAATTCCCCAAAATCCCCGATAAACCCCCCAAAATCCCCCCAAAACCCCTCCGGGTTCCGCCCGAGCTCGAACAGCGTGAACAGCAGCGGGATCGCCGTCTGGGGGAGGGGCGCGGTGAGACCCCCCCCAAAATATCCCCCGGGACCCCCAAAATATCCCCAAAATCCCCCCGGGACCCCCCAAAAAACTCCGGTCTGAAATCCCCGATAAACCCCCCAAAATCCCCCCAAAATCCCCCCGGTTCCATCAGCGTGAACAGCAGCGGGATCGCCGTCTGGGGGAGGGGGGCGGTGAGACCCCCCCCAAAATATCCCCAAAATATCACCCGGGACCCCCAAAATCCCCCCAAAAAAACCCCGGTCTGAAATCCCCGATAAACACCCCAAAATCCCCCCAAAATCCCCCCCAAATCCCCCCGGTTCCATCAGTGTGAACAGCAGCGGGATCGCCGTCTGGGGGGTGGGGGGCGGTGAGACCCCCCCCCAAAATATCCCCCAAAATCCCCCCGGGACCCCCAAAATCCCCCCAAAAAAATCCCGGTCTGAAATCCCCCAAAATCCCCGATAAATCCCCCAAAACCCCCCCAAAACCCCCCCGGTTCCATCAGCGTGAACAGCAGCGGGATCGCCGTCTGGGGGGTGGAGCGGTGAGACCCCCCCCAAAATATCCCCCGGGACCCCCAAAATATCCCCCAAAAAAACCCCGGGACCCCCCGAAACTCCCCCGGTCTGAAATCCCCCAAAATCCCCCAAACCCCCCCCCAAAATCCCCCCGGTTCCATCAGTGTGAACAGCAGCGGGATCGCCGTCTGGGGGGGGAGGGGCGGTGAGACCCCCCCCAAAATATCCCCCAAAATATCCCCCAAAATCCCCCCGGGACCCCCCAAAAAAACCCCGGTCTGAAATTCCCGATAACCACCCCAAAATCCCCCCAAAATCCCCCAAAATTCCCCCGGGTCGAACAGCGTGAACAGCAGCGGGATCGCCGTCTGGGGCTGGGGGGCGGTGAGACCCCCCCCAAAATATCCCCCGGGACCCCCAAAATATCCCCCAAAAAAATCCCGAAACCCCCCGGCTCCAAAATCCCCCAAAACCCCCCAAAATCCCCCCCAAAACCCCCCCGGTTCCATCAGTGTGAACAGCAGCGGGATCGCCGTCTGGGGGGGGGGGGCGGTGAGACCCCCCCCAAAATATCCCCCCAAAATATCCCCCCAAATACCCCCGGGACCCCCCAAAATCCCCCCAAAAAAACCCCGGTCTGAAATTCCCGATAAAACCCCCAAAATCCCCCCAAATTCCCCCAAAATTCCCCCGGGTCGAACAGCGTGAACAGCAGCGGGATCGCCGTCTGGGGGGGTGGGGCGCGGTGAGACCCCCCCCAAAATATCCCCAAAATATCCCCCGGGACCCCCAAAATATCCCCCAAAAAAACCCCGGACTGAAATCCCCCAAAATCCCCCCAAAATCCCCCCAAAACATCCCCCGAAACCCCCCCAGCTCGAACAGCAGCGGGATCGCCGTCTGGGGGGTGGGCACGGTGAGACCCCCCCCAAAATATCCCCCCAAAATACCCCTGGGACCCCCAAAATATCCCCCAAAAAAACCCCGGTCTGAAATCCCCAATAAACACCCCAAAATCCCCCCAAATTCCCCCAAAATTCCCCCGGTTCCATCAGCGTGAACAGCAGCGGGATCGCCGTCTGGGGGGTGGGGGCGCGGTGAGACCCCCCCCAAAATATCCCCCGGGACCCCCAAAATATCCCCCAAAAAAACCCCGGTCTGAAATCCCCGATAAAGCCCCCAAAACCCCCCCGGGACACCCCAAAAATACCCCGGGACCCCCAAAACAGCCCCGGGACCCCCAAAACACACCCGGGACCCTCCCGGGACCCTCCCCGTTCTCTCCGGTTCCCCCCCCAGTACCCCCCGCACCCCAAATCTCTCCCCAAACCCCCCCGGTGCCCCTCACGGTGTCCCGCCCCGGTGTCCCCGGTACTCCCCGGTGCCCCCCGGTAACCCCCGGTTCTCCCCCGGTCCCCCCATTCCCGGTGTCCCCGGTCTGCCCCCGTTCCCCTCACGGTGGTCCCCCCGTTCCCCCCGTTCCCGGTCTCCCCCGTTCCCGGTTCTCCCGGTCCCCTCACGGTGTCCCCCCCGCCCAGTTCCCGGTGTCCTTCGGTTTCCTCCGTTCCCCCCGTTCCTCCCCGGTATCCCCGGTCCCCCCGGTGTCCCCCGGTCCCCCCCGGTACCCCCCGTTCCCCCCGGTGCTCACGGTTTCCCCCTGGTACTCCCGGTGTCCCCCCCGGTTTCCCCCCCGGTATCCCCGGTGCCCTCCCGGTACTCCCGTTCCCCCCGGTGCTCACGGTGTCCACGCCTCCCGCGGTGAACTCGGTGCCCGTTACGGTGTCCTCCCCGTTCCCCCCGTTCCCCCCGTTCCCCCGTTCCCCCCGGTACTCCCGTTCCCCCCGTTCCCCCCGTTCCCCCGTTCCCCCCGGTACTCCCGGTCCCCCCGTTCCCCCCGCGGTTCCCGGTGTCCCCCCGGTGCTCACGGTGCCCCCCCCGTTCCCCCCGGTGCCCCCCGTTCCCCCCGTTCCCCCCGTTTCCCCCCGGTCCCCCCGCTCCCCCCGGTGCTCACGGTGTCCACGCCGCCGGCGGTGAACTCGGTGCCCGTTACGGTGTTCCCCCGTTCCCCCCGTTCCCCCTTTTCCCCCGGTGCCCCCGGTCCCCTCCCGGTGCCCCGTTCCCCCCGGTACTCCCGGTGTCCCCCCGGTGCCCCCGGTGTCCCCCCGGTTCTCACGGTGTCCACGCCGCCGGCGGTGAACTCGGTGACGTTGGCTTTGATGTTGGGGAGGGGGAGGTGCCCCTGCAGCAGCAGCTCCGCCAGGACCCCCCCGGGGACCCCCCCGGGACCCCCCCCGGCACCGGCACCGGCACCGGCACCGGCACCGGCACCGGGAGCCCCCCGGCAGAACTCCCGGTAAATGCGCTGGATGCTCTCGTCAGCTGCGGAATGGGGGGGGGGGGTCAGGCCGGGGGGCACCGGGACCCCCACCCCAAATTTTGGGGTGCTCAAATTATGGGGGGGCACCGGGACCCCCCGGTACCGGCACCGGGACCCCCCGGGACCCCTCCCGGTAAATCCGGCAGCTGCGGGAACGGGGGGGGGGAAACATTGGGGGGGGCACCGGGACCCCCACCCACAATTTGGGGTCCTCAAATTATGGGGGGGCACCGGGACCCCCCCGGTAACGGCACCGGGACCCCCACCCCCAAATTTGGGGGGTTCGAATTATGGGGGGGGCACCGGGAACTCCCCGGTAACGACACCGGGACCCCCACCCCAAATTTGGGGGGTTCGAATTATGGGGGGGCACCGGGAATCCCCCCGTTAACGGCACCGGGACCCCCACCCCCAAATTTGGGGGTGTTCGAATTGTGGGGGGGCACCGGGAACCCCCGGTACCGGCACCGGGACCCCCACCCCCAAATTTGGGGGGTCACAATTGTGGGGGGGCACCGGGAACCCCCCGGTACCGGAACCGGGACCCCCCCCCGGTAAATCCGGCAGCTGCGGGAACGGGGGGGGGAAATATTGGGGGGGGCACCGGGACCCCCACCCCAAATTTGGGGGGTTCGAATTATGGGGGGGTACCGGGAACCACCCCCGGTACCGGCACCGGGACCCCCAACCCCAAATTTGGGGGGTCCTAGTTGTGGGGGGGGCACCGGGACCCCCACCCCCGTACCGGTACCGGGACCTCCACCCCCAAATTTGGGGGGTCCTCAAATTATGGGGGGGGTACCGGGACCCCCCCGGTAACGGCACCGGGACCCCCACCCGAAATTTGGGGGTTCCAATTATGGGGGGGCACCGGGAACCCCCCGGTACCGGCACCGGGACCCTCAAACAGAGCCCACCCCCCAAATTTGGGGGTCCCAATTGTGGGGGGGCACCGGGGCCTCCACCCCCAAATTTGGGGGGTCACAATTGTGGGGGGGCACCGGGAACCCCCCCCCCGGTAACGGCACCGGGACCCCCAAACAGAGCCCACCCCCAAATTTGGGGGGGTCCTAATTGGGGGGGGCACCGGGACCCCCACCCCCAAATTTGGGGGGGTCATAATTGGGGGGGGGCACCGGGAACCCCCCGGTAACGGCACCGGGACCCCCAAACAGAGCCCACCCCCAAATTTGGGGGGGTCCTAATTATGGGGGGGTACCGGGACCCCCACCCACAATTTGGGGGTCCGAATTTTGGGGGGGGGGTATTGGGGCCTTGTGGGGTGGGGGTCTCATGGGGGGTTCTATAGGGTGGGGGTCTCCCCACGGGGGTGGGGGTCCCTGGGGGGGTTCCCACGGGGTCGGGGGTCCCAGGGGTGGGTGGGGGTGTCTCGGGGGTTACCGAGGGGTGGGTGGGGGGTCCCATGGGTGGGGGTCCCGGGGTGGGTGTCCCACGGGGGTGGGGGTCTCATTGGGGGGGGGTCGGGGGTCCCGTGGGTGGGTGGGGGTCCCGGGAATGGGGTGGGGGTCCTGGGGGCGTGTCCCACAGGGGTGGGGGTCTCATGGTGGGGTCCCTGGGATGGGGTGGGGGTCCCATAGGTGGGGGTCCCATGGGGGTCGGGGGTCCCGGGGATGGGTGGGGGTCCCGGGGGGGGTCGGGGTCCCATGGGTGGGGGTCTCTCAAGGGGTTACCGGGGGATGGGTGGGGGTCCCGGGGATGGGGTGGGTGGGGATGGCACCCATGGGTGGGGGCACCCACCGTGCTGGAAGATGGTGTCCCAGGCGCGGGGGGGGGCGGGGGTGGGTGGGGGTCTCTCAGGGGTGGGTGAGGGTCCCATGGGTGGGGGTGGCACCCATGGGTGGGGGCACCCACCGTGCTGGAAGATGGTGTCCCAGGCGCGGGGGGGGGCAGGGGGTGGGTGGGGGTTTCTCGGGCGTTACCCATGGGTGGGTGGGGGTCCCAGGGATGGGGTGGGTGGGGGTGGCACCCATGGGTTGGGGGGGGTCCCATGGGTGGGGGTCCCACGGGGATGGGGGTCCCGGGGGTGGGTGGGGGTCTCTCAAGGGTGGGTGGGGGGTCCCGGGGGTCCCATGGGTGGGGGTGGCACCCATGGGTGGTGGGGGCACCCACCGTGCTGGAAGATGGTGTCCCAGGCGCGGAGGTGGCGCCGCCAGAGCGGGGGGGGGGGGGGGTGGGTGGGGGTCTCTCGGGGTTACTGGGGGATGGGTGGGGGTCCCGTGGGTGGGGGTGGCACCCATGGGTGGGGGCACCCACCGTGCTGGAAGATGGTGTCCCAGGCGCGGGGGGGGCAGGGGGTGGGTGGGGGTCTCTCAGGGGGTGGGTGGGGGTCCCAGGGATGGGGTGTGTGGGGGTGGCACCCATGGGTGGGGGGCACCCACCGTGCTGGAAGATGGTGTCCCAGGCGCGGGGGGGGCCGGGGGTGGGTGGGGTTACCCGGGGATGGGTGGGGGTCCCATGGGGGGGGGTGGCACCCATGGGTGGGGGCACCCACCGTGCTGGAAGATGGTGTCCCATGCACGGAGGGGGCCGGGGGTGGGTGGGGGTCTCTCAGGGGTTACCGGGGGGTCCCAGGGATGGGTGGGGGTCCCGGGGGATGGGGTGGGTAGGGGTGGCACCCATGGGTGGGGCACCCACCGTGCTGGAAGATGGTGTCCCAGGCGCGGGGGGAGCAGGGGTGGGTGGGGGTCTCTCAGGGGTTACCCATGGGTGGGTGGGGGTCCCGAGGATGGGGTGGGTGGGGATGGCACCCATGGGTGGGGGCAC